TGGGCAGCTTATAACTGCTTGTACACTCCCACTCCAAGGAATCACACATCTGGCTTCTGAGGCATCTGCACTCACATGCTACATAAAGCCCTCTCACACACTTACAATTAAACCTGACTTGCCAGGCAGACGTGCTTTGAGGAGGTGTCACTGAAGAAACGAGGCTCACAGACCACCAGACCTAAGATGGACAGCGCTTTCCTACACAGGCGTGGCAAACTGGAGGTTCCGTGTGGTCTTTATTCCACACGTGTGTTGAGTTTCAGAATTTTGAGGTGCTATCCACGGCGGGGAAATGAATCTAAGTACACCAAGCTCTTTGTCCGTTTACTTTATTCCTCTATGGCAAAATTCTACTGTACAGCTTCAGCTCCTTCCTCACATCCAGCTCCTCTCTGTGCCCACTTCTCCTGTCCTCATAGTTTCAGTAAGCTCCTATGCCTTTGACCTCCTCTTCGTCCTCTGTTCCTTCATTCTGCATCTTCCTTTCCTAGCTCCTCACTCCTAGCTCTGAGAAAACTCTACAAGAGATCAGCCTTTCCATCCACAGAATCGGTGCCTTTCTCTCTTCTCCTGGTCATGCAGCTGTCTACCCTCTACAGACAAACTGCCTTGTCTTTCTTTCCTGGCCACGCTCTCTGCCTGCCTCTGGAATTCCGCTCCAGTCCTTACTGCATCCAGTTATGCAAAAAGCCCTGCTGTCCTCTGTCAGTCTCTCTGCCATACTCCTATGCCTGAAGGAAGGGAATGGTCTGAGCTTCATTTGCACAAGACACAGAGCTAGGCATCTGCAGCCTCCCTGTCCCCTAGGCTCTGGGGTGGGGGGAGTTAGTTATCTAGTAGATCAGCAGGTCTGAGAAGCTGAACTGTTTGCCAAATGGCCTAGTATTATATGGGCCCATAAGGATTTCATAGCAGAAGACAGCTGAAATATTAAAAACTGAATAACACCAAATATTCCATCATTGATGGCTTCCTCTAGAAAAAAAATGCCTTAAAATTTCTAGGTATAGCTTTAATACACAGCTGAATCTCTATAATATATTCTTGCGGCCCACAAGATTATGTTTGGCACCAAAGGGACTTAGTTCCCTGGGGTAGTGGGTACTTTCTCATATAGTTCATCATCGACTTGCTCCTGTCCTGTAACCAGCTCTGTTTTGGGGAGGATGCCCTATGACACTTCCACATACTTGTTCCAGGCAGGGGAAGTCAGGCCGGTGAATGCAACACGAATGTCACCTGGCTGTGGCTTGTAGACAGTGTGCTGCATTTGTAATTTCTGGGGCAAGGAGACCCTGGCAAACAGGTGGGGCAAGCCACGTGGTTGAGACCCACATGTGCTCATAGCCCTAGCCATGGCTTTGGAAAAGAACCGGACACAGGTTCTGAGGAAGGATGAAGTCCATGACCAAAGCCAACCGGGTTCGGTAAGTCTAGTGTTGTGCCACTGGAATGAGTCCCCGGGGAGGGGCCCTGCCCAGGGAGTATACATACAGCCAGGAACTCCCACATCCCGATGTGGAGTAGACACCACAGAGTGAGTGAGACCGAAGGACATCGATTAATGTGGTAGGTGAGCTCCACCGTAGCAGTGGCTGAGCCCTATCCCAGCAGTGGGTGAACTCTGAAGTGAGGAGTCGCTGAAGGACCGGATGTTGGTTGAGGAAGAGCTCATAAAAGCCAGAGTGACGTGGAGACTCCTGGGAGCTGCTTCCTGTTCTACTCGTCTCTGTATTCCTCAAACCTAAGGAAAAGTCTTGTCACACAGTTCTCATCAAAATTGTAGCCAACCTAAGTGAATTAAAGTCTTAGAATTAAAAAACAACTCAGGTCTTCCTCAAGGGCGGCAAGCGCTCTTCACCACTAAGTCGTCTGTCCAGTCGTCTGTCCAGCACCTTTGTCTCCTTGACAGTCTTTCTGGTTGAGGCAGGATAGAAAGAACTTCAGGGGAGCTGCCATTTTGTTTGAGGCAAAGTTTCACTTTGTGGACCAGGTTGACCTTGAACTCATGCAGATACACGTGCCTCTGCCTCTAGAATGCTCAGATTAAATTGCAAGAGCCACCACACCTAGCCCCTCGAAGTACTTTTGATTTGCATATCCCTGATAGCTAAGGATACTGAATGTTTTCATGTGTTTATTGTGTACTTCTTTTGGACAGTTGTCTGTTTAATTCATATTCCCACTTATTGATTAGATAATATGTTGTCCTGGTTCTTCATATATTCTGGATATTAATCTTCTGTCCGATGACTAGCTGGCAAAGATGCTCTCCCATCCTGTAGGCACTTTTCACTCTGACCATTGCTTCTTTTGCTGGGCAGGAAAGGCTATATGATTTTATGCTGTCCATATATCCCAGAGGTTCCTATCCTGCCATGTACCCAGAGGCAGGGAGAATCTGACAGGAAACTGAGCTCTGAAGAGAAGTGCTTGGTGTTTCTGGAATGCTTGAGGCTAACTGTTCAGAGGTCTCAGACATAATCAGGACAGGTGGCCTCGAAGTCAAGGTTTCCATCGTCTTTTTGCAGCTTGTTTTAGTTCATTCTCCCACCCTCTGGTTTTCATGATTAACGTGAAGACATCTCATTTTGTCCTCTATCAGTGCCATCCACTAGGATGTGACACAGTCAGGGGCCCTCACCATAGGCAGAGTCACGGGGGGGGGGGGGGGGGCACAGACTTGGACTGTCCGCCCCCAAACCAGACGATGAATGATCCTCTCCACACATCCAGCAGCCTCGGGTGCTGTGTTGTAGCGACAAACGAGGGCTGCGGGGAGGTGCAGGCAGTGGGGAGATTGAAGAGGTGGGGACAATGCCAGTTGTGAGATCAAAGTAGCCTGGGTGCAAAAAGACCTAAGGGGCAATGTCCAGTAAACAAGAATCGGTTCCAGCCTGGATGCTCTCAAAAAGCAGACAGTGCTGACCAGTGCCTCAAAACCTCTCAGCCACAGGAGACTAGTCAGCAGCAACGACTGGTCCCCAGCCATCAGCGAGCATGGGTGCAGCTTGCTCCCAGGACGTCTGGATCAGCGGTACTCTACTCAATCTTTGACCAAGTGGAAGATCGGGAGGAACCACTGGCCATGGACACTCGGGGGTCTTTCTCAAGGACTTGATTTGGAATTGCTGGTTTATGTCCGTGATAAAAAAAAAAGAGGGAGCAAAGCCTTCTTTCTATCCACAGTAGACGGGAACTGTCTCAAGGAGCTGCCCCCAAGGCTGGGTTCTGCAAGGGGGTTTATTCTAAGAGAGGGACCTCCTTGCCTGCTTCTGGATGTCCCTGCCTGAGCTTCAGCAGTCCTGATGTGGACTGTCCCTCAGACATCTAAGTGTTGCAGGTTGGCTTTTCAGTGTAGTGCTGCGGGAAGTTAGGACCTGAGAGAGTCAAGGCCCTGTGGGGAGGTCCCTAGAGCCGGCCCTCCGGGGAGCTGGTAAAACCTTCCCTACCACGCTTTGGATCCTGGCCAAGGGGAATGGTTTTTGCCTGCTCTGGGACGAGGCAGTGATGAGACCCCGAGCAATGGGATATCCATCATACTTCATCAGGATATCCATGTGTAAAAGCAGGGGGCCCAGGGCCACGCACAGAATAGGTAATGTTGAAGGATGGCCCTGGTTTCACTGTGGCCAGGCCATGAGCCAGCAATCCCCCAAAACAAGACCTGGATAAAGACCCCAGGGGGTTGTGGCCATCAGTACCTCTCCCCCACCCCAGAGATTTATTTTATGTATGAGTGCTCTATCTGCATGTATGTATGCTTTTATGCCAGAAATAGGCATCAGATCCCACTAGAGATGGTTGTGAGCCACCATGTGGTTGCTGGGAATTGAACTCAGGACCTCTGAAAGAGCAGCCAGTGCTCTTAACCACTGAGCCATCTCTCCAGTCCTAACAGGACTTCTTGATTGGTCTGTTGGCCAAGAACTGATACAACCAAGATGTTCAGGGCACAAGCAATTTGCACACTACAGTAGGGGGAAGGCCAATGGGTTTCTGTGGTTAGGAAGAGCTGAGGCATTGGCCGGGCGGTGGTGGCGCACGCCTTTAATCCCAGCACTCAGGAGGCAGAGGCAGGCGGATCTTTGTGAGTTTGAGGCCAGCCTGGGCTACAGAGTGAGATCCAGGAAAGGCGCAAAGCTACACAGAGAAACCCTGTCTCAGAAAAAAAAAAAAAAAAAAAAAAAAGGAAGAGCTGAGGCCCAAAGGTTACTAGAAATGCATGAACAGGTGGGGCTTCACTGCTTCAGACTCCAGGGGCCAAAGGTTCCTGAGGATCTACCCCAGTCTGGCAGCAATGATGTTCTAAAGAAACACCCGTGTCTGTCTCTGTCTCTGTCTCTGTCTCTGTCTCTGTCTCTGTCTCTGTCTCTCTCTCTCTCTCTCTCTCTCTCTCTCTCTCTCTCTCATTTTTCCGAGACAGGATTTCTCTGTGTAGCTTTGCGCCTTTTCCTGGAACTCACTTGGTAGCCCAGGCTGGCCTCGAACTCACAGAGATCCACCTGCCTCTGCCTCCCGAGTGCTGGGATTAAAGGCGTGCACCACCACCGCCTGGCATGTGTCTCTCAATTTTATCAATAGACCCCCAAATAAATGGGAGTCATCGTCGTCACCCCACCCCAGGAAAAGACACCACCTAGAGGGGAAACGTCTCAGAACGAGCTTCCAAACAGTTCTAACCTATCAGAGCATTTTACAAGATGAAACTGAAAGCTGGATGACCATGGTGGATGGGACCGCACCTTGGCCCGCACTGCTTAGATGTGGGTATCCTTGGCCCTCTAACTTTAATCTTATTTCAGGCGCTGAAGATCGACCTGAGGGATTTGCTGTATCTCTTTGTCCCTCTTCCCAGTGGAGATGCATTTTAATTGGCTTATTGAGGATGGGTGGCTGGACCTGACTTGGGGCACAAGTTGTGATCTCCAAGTTCCATATCACTATGAATGAAGATCCCAAGCACCAGGAAGGTAACTCAATGAAGCAGAAAACTCTCTGGCCGTTTTTGCATCTTTTATTGGCACAGGTGTCCTCACGTGGCAAGGCACATCTTGCCCTGCAGAGCAGGACCTCAGCGTACCTGGGCCAGGTTGTGCTTCTTGTAGAGTAGTGCCCGCCGCTTCTCGCGCTCGCGCACGAAGGCGCGCAAGCGCGCGGTGGGGAAGGTCACGGGCGTGGTCCGGGAGCCCGCGGGGCCCTCCTCTGTCAACCAGGCGCTCTGCAAGCAGGTGGTGGCGCATGGGCGGCCCCTGAAGCAGAAAGTGGATCATCCGGGATTTGAGGGTTAGGCTGGGCGAGCCGGGAGAGGGGAAGGATATGTAGGGCGAAGCAAGCGGGGAGGGAAGGGCTGCACAGTGGGTGGGGCCGACGAAGTGGGCTGGGACAGCAAGAGCGGTGGAGGGGGCGGGGCGGGACACAGGTCGGGCTCCTTACCAGGGTCGAGCGCACAGTGCGCTCTGCAGGAAGGCTACGGCACCCCCAGACAGCCCTGCGTAGCAGCGGCTCAAACGAATGAGTCCCTTGGGCAAGCCTTTCTGCAGGTCACGAGTCCCCTCGCTGCTGACCGGGTACTCGCCACTCAGCCTGCATGGATAAGAGGCGCAGGAAATGCTCAGTTACCCTTGGATGGATAGGAGATGTAGGGACATCGAGCTCACCATAAGGGATGGGGAAGTATGGGGACCAAATTCTGGATGTATTTGTGGAGATGCACAGGGCTCTGTGTTTAGGGCTTGTCCCACCCACACAGCAAAGCTTCCCCAGACGCCTGAGGGACTCACATAATGAAGGCTGTCACACCAATAGCCCAGATGTCTGTCTGTGGAACAGCCCCTTGGCCTTCCAGGAGTTCCGGAGCTGCAGAGGAGCATGGGTGGATACAGGTGGTTGGGCACAGTTGGGTAGGTCAGGTGGTAGACGTAAGTGGAGGAGCCAGGTGACATGCTGGGCATCTGGGCCCAGGTGAATGGGCACATGCATGAGGCTCTGGTGAGAATTGTCAGTGGAACTGGGAGGGACAGAAGGAGGGAGGGAGGACTGATAGGGAAGAGCTTCTCTCCCTGCCCCCACAGATCAGGAGTCACATACGCACCCATGGTCTCCAGGTAGTCTTTGAAGTTCTCAGGGGGTGGGACCTTCCCTTGGCTGAGGCTCTGAGCATTGCCCAGGTCCACAACCTTAAGCAGATTGTACTCAGTGATCATCATGTTCTCGGACCTCAGGTCCAGGTGCAGGATGTGCTGGGCATGCAAGTACTGGGTGGCACTCAGCATCTGCCACAGGTAGTCCTTCACATCAGACTCTGAGTAGGAGTCCCTAGGGGACACAGATGGCTCAGGACAGGCCCAAGGCAGGAAGGGGGTGTCCTGCCAGGGCTAGGCACACATGGGGGAGGCTGAGAACACTGTTCTGGCAAGCCAGAAGGAGCATTGGGTTCTGCTGAGTACTAGCTTGATGTGGTCACAGTTCTCATGGTCTCTCCCAGACACAGCTGCTTGCCTGTCTGTCTGTCTGTCTGTCTGTCTCCCAGACAATCCATGCTACCCCTCACCTCTCTGCCAGACAGGGTAGCAGCTCAGGGCCAGAGCACAGCTCCAGGATGAGCACCAGGTGCCGGGGACTGAGGTAGGCGGCGTGGAGTTGGGCCAGATGTGGGTGGTGCAGTCTCTTAAGTGCTTCGTATTCTCTTAACACGGCCGCCTTGTCCTCCGGCTGGTAGGGAACAATCTTAGCGGCCAGCGCCCGCCCACTCCTCTTCTCCCTGCACTGCCTTACCACACTGAAGCGGCCCCTGCATAAAGGGAACAAAGTAGGGTCTTGTGAGTCGTCTCCACACACTCAGAGCAGCAGGGACCACGCTCAATGAGCAGATAAGGGAAGGGGCCAGTGACAGGTGCCCTGGGCAGTTGCCCTGGGGTGTGGGACATGAAAAGCCTGCAGGGAGGAGCTGAGGGACCGTTCCCACCCTCCCACCCTCTGCAGACACCCCCCTGCACCTCCGGATCTGCATCTGGAAGGCGAAGGTCTTTGTGCTGGGGAGAAGCTGGGCTGGCCTCCCCCGGCCGCTCTCCTCCTCAGAGGCTGTGGGACATGAGATAGGCGACCTCGTCAGGGAGGGGCATGCAGGCAGCCCTGTCCCTCCCGTCATCTCTCACCATCCCTTCCCAAGCGCCAGGAAAGTGGCCCTTCTCTAAGATCCCATGCACTTGGACCCGCCATTCCCTGAACAATTTTGTGTGTGTTGGAGGAGAAACTCGGACAAGGGGGGGCGGGGATCACGGCAGCATCTGTCATCTTGACGGATTGCATGCCTGATGATCCCAGGATGGAACCCGAGAGCAACCAAATGACATCTGCCGTTCTTGAGTCTACACCAGCCATTTCTAATCCACCACAGCACCCTTCCGTCAGAAGCAAACATAGCACCCAGTGAGGTAAAAATCAACCGTCGTCAACTCCCAGGGTGATACGAGGAGGGTGTCGGTGAGTGAAGGGGGGCAGGAAGATGATGGGGTCCCCGGGGAGTGCAGGCTCTGAATGCTGCTGCATGCAGGCAAGTAGATCATCCATAGGCAAGAGGGTGTCTATGCCTGATCGGATGGCCACCCTTATCTGCCCCATCTACCCCGAAGCTCACCCAGGTGGTTGGGCCCTCCCAGGAGGACTTGCTCTGAAGGGCTGCTGTAGGGGCCCATTCCTGCTTTGCTGACACACGCGGTCCGGAAGGTGTACATGCCACCCCGGGACAGCTTGCCGGTGAGGTAGCAGCAGTCGGAGATGTCAGAGGCCAGGGTGGTCCAGCTGCCTCCTGGCCACCCAGGAGAGAGAGAAGCAGTTGTGGGGAATCAAGGGAACCCCTTTTCTGAGGCTGCCCACAGACACAGAGCGGCCACACCCACAGTGCCTCTCCACGTCAACCCTGCATAGAAGCCTAAGCCTCAGGAAGCCTGTACCTTCTATACAGCACTGCACGATGTAGGTCACCGGGCCACAGGATTCCACGGGCTTCCAGACCAGCAGCACTGCATCTGCGTACACTTCCCCCACCTCTGGGCGTGGAGAGGATGAGGGGCGCTCTGCAAGGGCAACCCTGTGATCAGCATGGGTACTCGACCCTCGAAGAGCAATCTCTGGCCACACCCATCCATCTCCCTCTCAACAGCTGCCAGGCCTACTCTCTATTGGTTCTGGAGAGGGGTTTCAAGGTAGGATGTGTAGAAGAGATTGGCAGGGATCCAGGGATATCTGCCTGGCTATCTCCGTCAAGATCCCCCTCAGCTACCATCTCACGGGGGCCTACGCAAGACCCTACAGAGTGGTCCTGGTTAGTGCCTCATCTCTGCTGAGTGCTCCAGCACAAGCGTGCAGGCTACCCAGTGACAGACTGGTACCACAGGTCCAACAGTCCCTTTCTTCACTGCCCCCAAAATACCCTTGGCCGCTGCGTGAACCAATACAGAAGGCAGTACAGGCAGAGGAGGAAGTGCAACCCAGAGAGGAAGCTCTGATCGGCACTGGATGTGACATTAGCAGCTTTAGCTACCCCTGACTTTCCTTGAGTTCCCTACAAGTCCCAGTTCCATGGACCCTCACATAAGAAGCCAGCGTCTTCCTGCTCACTAACCAAGATAAGGTCTCCTGGAACTCCCAGCCCAGCCTCTGTGGCCTGGCAGAGACTTGGGGTGTGGCCTACACACCTGCTTTCCGGAGGACCCCTGTCGTGACTGCCGTCCCCAGCGGATTGCTCACACAGCAGGTGTATGTGCCCAGATCCTCCTCTGTCACCACCAGGATGGTCAACAGCTGGAAGTTCTTCAGGGTGGAAGAGATGAGGAGGTGGCCACTGCTCTCCAGGAGGGCCCCATCTGTGAAAAGACAAAGCCAGCCTCGGTTTTCCCCAGGACAGCCCCAGCATCCTGCTGGGCCCGTGGCTGCTGCTTGTCCACGCCAATCCAGCATCCAGACTCTGGGACAGCTCCTTACCTTTGCTCCAGGTGGCCTGGGCAGTGGGTTGGGCCAACACCTGGCAGGCCAGTGTCACTGACTGGCCCAGGACCACAGTCTCATCTGAGAGCTCTCTTAGGAAGGATGGCGCTGAGAGGGGGGATAAGATGAGCCTTGAGAGGAGACTTCCTGACCAGAGAGCCCAGGCTGGACCCTGCTCAACTCTACCCTCAGCTTCGACGGAAGCCTTCCAGAACTGCTTAGACCTCTGCGCCAGAACCCTGCACTGGACTCTCGCTGTTGGGATCCCTGCTTACCTTGGTCCCTGCCCTTCAGGCCTGACAGCCGGAAAGACGCTAAGCCTGCCTTCTTCCTGGGGGGCTCCTCCTTCTCAGGACCTATGGGAGAAAGAGGGCCAGGAGCTCAAGGGGTGAAGCAGGACAGCACCAGCTTCTTCGCCCTAGGAAATCTGCCAGGGGAAAGGACAGGGCCTTAGGGAGCATGTAGGAAACCAGAACAAAGCTTGGTGGCGCCACCCCCACCTTCCTCAGCAACAGGCTGTCAGGAGGCAGGTCTGAGCACAGGACATAGATAGATGCCTAAGGGGTGGGTGGGTGCTGGGCCTGGGGTTAGGAAAATCAGACGCCATGGAGGCTCTGAAGATGAAGGGGACCTGTGGCCGCTGAGGGCCATGTCAGAGGGTCTGAGTTTGGAGTGGCTCCTGGGTCCGAGATCTGGGGTCCGGTGAACTGACCCACGGGTCCTCTCTCTCCCCAAAGGTCTGACCCTGCTGCTGGCTCCAAGTCCCTGCAGCTGTTATGTGTCAGGGATGGTCTCAGATACCCAGTAAGGAGGGGTGTCAGGGCTGCAGAGGGGAATCTAGGATCTGAGCCAAGACCTGTGGGGTCAGGCCAGATGGTGTGGGTAGCCTAGGTCAGGGAGAGGAGGACAGCTGGGCCGGTCTTGGGAGGGCACAAGAGGACGGGGTAGCCCCCTGGGTGCAGACAGAACAAGGGACATGTGGGCATGCCAGATGTTGGGGGAGGTCACCTTCCGGCTTGCCCTTCAGGATCCTGGAGATGTGAGCCATGGAAGCCTTCACCCTCTGGCGCAGCCCAAGCTCCACGGGCTCCTCCCCTGACAGGCACCTCCCGGGGAATGGGAAGAGGCCACGGGAGGGGGACCACTTGCGCTTCCTGCCCATAGCCGCCTCTCCCAGCAGTGCTTCCAGGTCCCCTGGCTCCTCTGACTCCTCTGTAATTTCCAAGCCAGCACCCAGGCCCAGCTCTCCTGGCCAGGGCCACGCAGCCTCCTCTAGGAACTCAGCCAGCCCTTGCCCGGCCTCGCTTTCAGAGCCGGGTGACTCTGGAGGTTCTACAGGTTTGGGGACCCTCCTGAAGATCATGAACTCAAAGGGGAGATACTTGATGTCATATAGATCAGAGAGGTTGAGGTAGGCAGGATCGACCTCAGAAATGTCCAAGGAGATAGTGTCAGCTGCTTCTGCATCACCAGACAGATCCCGGATCTGTACCAGGGAAACCTGCTCGACTTCCTCCCATGGGGGGAAGCTCGGAGAGGTCCTTCGGGGAACCCCGCCGGCCTTAGCCATGGGCCCTGAGCTGTCTGGAGGTTGAGGGCTCTCAGTCACAGCTTCATCCTGCTCTTCTGAGGACTGGGACACGGCCCAGGCCATCCTGGCCCAAAGAGGACCCTGCCCTAGCATGCCCCCTGCATCCCCGCCAAAGGCAAAGGTGCCGTAGCCTGACACCCCTGCATAGCCCCCACGGGATTCCAGGGAGAACTTCCGGGTGGTGGCCTGCTCCTGCGGCCGCTGCAGGGGGGGTGTGAAGTCACAGGTGTCTCTAGCTTCAGACAAGTCTTCAGTATCCAGGGAGGCACCTACTTGGGAGGCTGGCCCTGAGGAATTAGAGGGACTGGGACAGGGCCTGCTATGTAGAGAGCTATCCCCAGGCTCCTTCTGAGAACCCGGAAGGGGGCTTGCTTGGGTTGGGAATGGGGCTGCCTGAGGCTGTCCTGTGACAAAGGGACTACAGGGCGTCAAGAGGTCCTTCTTCAATGACTGCGGAGGTAAAGAGCCAAGCGACTGTGATGATGGAGAGCCGCAGCCCTCCTGGGAGCCAGAACCCAGGTCAGAGTGGCAGGAAGGGGCAGGCTTCCCTCGACAGCCGTCCTGGGACGATCCCTCTTGCTTAGCGGGCCCGGAGTCACCACTAGCAGGTGAATAGGGGACAGACTCCTGCAGCAAGGACCCCTTTGAGTGCCCCATGTCTTTGGCAGTGGCTTCGCGAGTCACCCCAGAGGAGGGTGGGAATAGGTATGGCGCCTCGCATTCCTCAGGAGAGCGGCCGGTGGTGTCTGGTGGGTTGTGGTCCAGGGAACGGCTTCGGCCTGGGACCTCTCGGGCACCGGAACTAGGTAGTCTCAGGGCAGTCTCAAAGGAGGGTGTCTTGGTCATCAGCGCGGCCTGCTCCTCCCTAGCGGCCTCCTCCTCCAGCACACTGTGCTCCATCAGTGGTTCTCGGAGTCCCGGTAGGGCCCTTGCGAAGTACCCGCCCTTCAGCAGGTGCCGCCTCCGAGCTGGGTGCCGCTTGGTTTTGCTCCCGCGCTCTGACCCCTCACCAGCTTGCTGGTAGAACAAGCTGCTGATAACGCTGTGCCGGGGCACACAACCTGGGCTTGCTGGAGGCCCAGCCCCCTGGGGGGAGGCTGGCAGGGCTGCATCAGCCGTGGGCGCAGGCGCGGGCGCGCTGCTGGCTTCTGTCTCCTCCGGGAGGCTGGCTGAGGGCCGCAGGAAGCCCCGAGGATGCAGCAGCGGGGAGTGAGTCACAGGGGAAGGCGGCAGCGACTTAGCCCTGGCGAACGGGGCAAGCTCGTTGTCCGAGGAAGACGAAGAGCTGGAGGAGCCACTGGCTTCCCCTCGGAGGTGCCGCGCCACGCCTAGGGACGGACTGTCTGGGGGACCCTGGAGCAGCTCCGGGATGGAGCGCATCACCAGGATAGACTTGTAGCTCATCAGGGAGCGCTGGAAATGAGGACAGAGGGGCGCCCATTGGACATGGCTAGTCATGGCAGAGGGTGGGGTGCCCACTGCCTCTATGCCCCCCCCCGGGGGCCCAGAGGGATGACCCAGGACATCTGGGTCTTCTGCACCTGGTGCTCTGTTGTTCCGCCCCACCACCGGGTGCACTCCTGGGGACCCAGAAGCACGGAAGAGGCCAGCCTGGCCCCTGTGCTCCTGGCCCAAGTTGGGCACACAGCTAGAGTCGGGTTCCCTCACCTGGCCTCAGCACCACTCTCCTGGGAAAGGGGGACCCACCTGCCAGCGACTTCGAGCAAGAAGGAACTTGAGCTGCTTGGTGTTGATGAAGTGAGCCTCCTCAGCGGGCATGGATTTCTGCAATGGGAGGGGCTGTGGTGACAAGAGACCCTGGTGCCCGGAAGGGCAGAGGCAGCAGGCTGGCCTCCACTGAAGGCTTCAGAGTCTCCTCTCAGACAGTCTGAGGGCAAATCCCTTACCCAGATGCCCATGGAGGCAGAAGGAACCCTTTGTTGCTAACTGCCTAGCAATTCTTTGTCGGGGGGCTCCAGGACCCCCTGACCAATATGAAAGGACTGATGTCCTCTGAACTAGGGACAACAGGCCAGAGCAGTCCACGCCGATGAGACATCTTGGCCTTTGTGTCCCTTTCTGCAGAGCAGTGAGTTGAGCCCAAGCTGGGCCTACTTACCAGGAACCAGGGGTGGGCAAGGCACTGAGAAGCACTAGGCCGGGCCCTGGAGGAAGAAGAAGAAAAGCAGGTGGGTCGGTCAGTCAGGTGGCCCTACCACAGGGTGACTGGAGCTTGGGCAGGGGAAGGACAGGTGTGCACGCACCTGGGGGTCTTCTGCAGTGTGGCCTTGATAAAGTCCTTGGCGTCTCCACTCAGATGGGCAGCCATGGGACTACTCCAAGACACCCGGCCCTCCAGAACATTCAGCAGGGTGGCACGGTCACTCTCTCCAGCAAATGGGGATGAGCAGGTCAGGCTGAAAGCAGGGATATACTGAGGCTGACTCTCAGGGACGGTTCCCTGACGGGATGTGCACTGCACTCATCTAGACCTGAGGAGTCCAGCCGGTGTCTCAGGCTGGACCAGAGCTATCCAGGATTAGCTTGGAGCAGGGATGCCGGCAAAGCCTGGAGTGGTTATCAGAGTTCAGACTAGAATGTGCATCCAGGCTCCGGCTGAGCTAGAGATCAAGGAAGAATCAGCCCACAGGAGTACCTTAGCCTGAGGTGGGGGTTAGGACTTGTCCAGTAGAAGAAACAGAGGCTGGGCTGGAAGCGGGGATATGAGATAAGCCTAAGGTGATATCTTGGCTCTAACCTGGGTAGAGATAAAGGCTCATTCTGGGGTGGTCACTTGCCCTTATCCTGACATGGGGACTCGTGTCCGAGACAGGACAGAGATAGAGGTTCAGCTTGAGATGTAGAGATAGCTGTAATGTGAGGGAGGTATTTGGGTTCATGCTGATACAGGTATCCAAGGTCAGTTTGAGGTGGCACCAGCCTTGATCTGAGGCAGAACTTCAGGTTCAGAATGGAATGGGAGTCAAGGTTGTCTTAGAGTAGGAACCAGCATTTACCAAGGTAGAAATCAAGGTTCAGCCTGCAGAGGAGATCCAAGCTCAGGCTCTACCACTATCACCTTCAGGGCGGCAATGGCCACTATGAGTGTCCCATGGACAAGCCCCCAGACCTGCAGGGAGGTGGCCAAGCTCTGTCACATGACAACTGGGTGTCAGTGAGAAGTGTTGAAACTTTTTATCAGGGTTGGCCTACTGCCTGGTCTCGAAATAGCTGCCTGCTGTGTCTCGGGGCTGATCTAGGGGGTGGCCAGCAGTGTGTGTGGCCTACAGGGAGCGGTCAGCTTGGAAGAGGTGACGGGGCAGGGTCTGCTTACCTGAGGTAGGAGATGACACCCACGGCCCTGCAAGAATGAAAGAAAGCACCACACACAGTGAGTCAGACCAGGCCTGGCCCACGGACAAGGGGTGTGCATGCTGGGGTTTGGAGAAGCTTGGGGCTGGAGGAGGAGGCGGAGGCTCAGAGGGCCCTCAGCGGCCAGACAGACAGAGGAGAGGAGGTTCCCGAAGCACAGCCCTCCTGGTGGTCCGTCCACTCACCAGATGTCTGAGCCCTCGCTCACAGGACTCTGTTCGATGATCTCTGGAGATACAAACTCAGGCGCGCCGTACTTGCTGTACTGCGGCTCTGAGGGGGTGATTTTTTGGGCAAAGCCAAAGTCACAGATCTTAATGTCTTCCCGAGCTGGGTGCACCATCAGGATGTTGGGGGGCTGTCAGGCAGAGTTGGGAGGTTGCTGAGGGCTACGTGTCATGAGAGAGGTGACTACTGTCTCTCTGGGCCTATGGGGGGGGCACTGAAGAGTCCTTGGAGCTAGTAAAGGGCAGTGAGGAGTCAGACTGGGCATCACATCTTCTACTCCATCAGATCCAAACCCTACCTGAGGGCTAGGAAGCAGCGAGTTCTCTACGCTTAGTGGAACCCAAGCACAGGCAGGCTCCCGTCTGTTCCCACCCTGAGTGCTGGAGGTACCGTGGGGTCAGTACCTTTATGTCCAGGTGGAGGATGCCACGGCCGTGCAAATAGTGCAGTCCTTCCACTAGCTGCTGGATATAGACCTTGACCTGTGGTAAAAAGCCTGGTTCAGCTGGGGACCAGCCCCCAAGAGGCTGGCTCAGGTACTGCCTGGAGGCCTGGCTCGGGTGAGGGGCCAGCCCCAGCCTGCTCCTCTGTTCCATTCCAGCTTGCTCCCATAGTCAAGCCCTCCTCCCCTCAATTAGGGACCCACAGGACAGATGACTGGCAAAGTCTTTATCTGTGAGCCAGCCGGGCGGTGGTGGTGCACGCCTTTAATCCCAGCACTCGGGAGGCAGAGCCAGGCGGCTCTCTGTGAATTTGAGGCCAGCCTGGTCTACAGAGTGAGTTCCAGGACAGGCTCCAAAGCTACACAGAGAAACCCTGTCTCGGAAAAAAAAAAAAAAAATCTGTGAGCCCTAGGTCTGGGGGCGGAGCGGGGTCCCAAAGATAGGCTGAGCCTGAGTAAGCAGGAAGCAGCAGCCTGTTCAGATCAGGGAGGAGCAGGCCTCGCTACCACAGCTGGACAGATGTGGTCAGGAGGGGTAGGAGAGGGCTGGGCATGCCTGGGTACTGTAGGATCAGAAGCTAGAAGAGGCTTAGGTCAAGAGAGACTGTGTCTGGGGACCGGGGTGTAGGCCCTGACCCTAGGGCCCCACTAGGACAAGGAGAGGATAAAAGTCACCTCAGCCTCAGTCACAACACCCTTCTTGAAGAGGCGATCCAGCAGCTCCTCAGATGAGCACCTGGGCTTGGTCAAGGAAAAGCTGTACCTGGTTGGAATCCACCTGACTTCCGGGCACCTATGCTGACAGAGAGGTGTCTAGGACCTGACGAGGCTCCTGTAACCCAGATCTAGGGGTGCTGGTACTCAGATGAAGGAGGGTGGAATGGAGACCCCCTCCCCCGGGTCCCAGATGGTTACCATCCCTGAGAAAGGGGGCTTCAGAAAGACCCTGGTGACAGGCTGTTGGTCAATAGCATATTAGAACTGTGGCGCCCTTTCATCTCTGCACAGAACCCACACCAAGCACCCCTTCCCCAGGATCCTAAGACACAGCTTCAGGAGTGACAGGGCAGCCAGACCGTGCAGTACACAAGACCCTCAAACAAGGCTCCATGTGTGTGACAGAGACCTGGAGGAGCTGGGATGGGAAAATCTTCTCCAGTATCCAAGAGGTCACCTGTGAGAGGGACCCCGCCCACAACTCTGGTGTCCCCCCCGTCCCCAAATCATGCCACTGTGAACTGTAGGATCAGGACCTATTGTCACACACAGCATCAGGAACAGAAATGCTCAGATGTGGGGGCTAGTCGTTGCCGCTGTAACACCCAAGTCTAGGCACCCCACACTCGGTAACGCCGACCCTAGCCTGGGACCCAATGTCTCTTGAATTCCCCCTGGAGTCCAGGCGCAGGATACAGCTCCAAGATAAGGATGAGAGTCTTCCGCGTCTCAAACTGGTCCAGGAGCCCAGTGACCAGCGGGTGGCTGAGTGTTGCCAAGATGTCCCGTTCCTGGTACGCCTGGGCCCGCGTTTTGCTCCGCAGGGGGATGAACTTGGCGGCACAGGACATCTTGTTTCCTTTGTGCTGAACTCTTTTCACAAAACCAAACACACCCCTGGGGGGTGAAGAGGGAGAGAGGGAGCCATGGTTAGGCGTCATGCTGAAGGGGGAGGAGGAGTCCTTGGGGAGGACTGGAGTTGTGGGGACGGTGAGGAAGCCATACCTCCCAATCTCTTCTTGGACTTCATAGAAGGAATGCAGTTTTCTCCGGTAGGCTTGCTTTTCTGAGTCTAGCTTGTCCCCTACAGTCACAGCACAGGATATGTACGGTCTAGGCAGCTAAGACAGCCTTGGCCCCACTGTTCTCCCATGCAGTGACAGGGACTGCTCCCTGGTCCCTCTACCCTGCCCAGGACCTGGGAGGAGCCAGCCAACTCACCCCCGTGGACCAGCAGTTCCGCCTTGCAGAGCACCTGTCCGCCTGCATTATGGGCAAGGCATGTGTAGACGCCAGCATCATGTGGAGCCACGTCAGTCAGCACCAAGGAATATGTAGTCCCATCCTGCCGCTGGCTCAGCCTGTCACTGCTCACCAGCTGGCTGCTGTCCTGGACACACAGGAGGCAGCCTGGGCTACCATCAGCCTATCCTAGGAAATACTTGCACCTGGACCCACCCACCCTTCCTGGAGCAGTGCTTCCAACACCTGCTGTATGTCCAGCCCCAGGTGCAGGCCAAAAGTGGGATGGGAAGGTACAGGAAAGGACTGCAAGGTAGGGCCATGGAGTGGGGGTTGCAGATTGGATGGCGGGGTGCATGAGCCCCATACTCTAACATGGTCCCATGTAAACATGCACCCATGCCCCCCAGCTCCTGAAGCCTGTCTCCTCCCCCTGCTGCCTGGACCTGCTCCTACCTTGTACCAGGTCACTGTGGGTGGTGGGTTGCCTTCGATGACAGCGTCGAACTGTGCCGTGTCACCTACTTGGACTTGGACATCCTCAATCGTGACCTGCATGGATGGGGCCCCTGGGAGAGGTGGGAAAAGAACCTGTGTGGGGGGACCCTCAGGCTTCAGAGCCCTTGGTGCACAGTCCACCATGTACATCTGTGCTCAGTAAAGCCTTGGTTTATGTCCCTTGGACCAGAAGCCCACCTCCTTCCCTGCTGACAGTGACCCCAACCTCACTGCCTAGGCATCTGGTGGCACCACATCTGCTGCTGCCGGCCTCTTCCCAGAGAAGAGGAAAGGGGGCGCCTCAGAAAGAAGGGGTGGGGGAACGCGGGCTGAGGCATGCCGTGTGACTTAACCAGGTCTTCAGAGAAATGCCCCTGGCACCTGCCATGGGCACACCCCCATCCGGCTGGCCCACTTCCATACTTGCGGCACTTGTGTCGGGAACTTGGTACACATAGGTCCTCTGTGTGGTCTCCATGACGACTTGGCTGTGCACATCCAAGAGCAGCGGCCCAGCGCCTGCACCTGGCCAGGCTGTTCCCTCCACCCTGGAGTCAAGGCAGGGTGGTCTCCACTCAGTGAGGCACCCTGACTCAGTACCTCTTGGGTAGCTGTGCCCCAGGGTGGGAGGGTGACCCTGATGTCCCTCTTTGTGGTGTTAGATGTATGGACACAGGCCCCAGGCTTCTCCCCAAGACCGTAGGCTCTAGAGTGGGTCCCTCTTTCCTCCCCTGCCCACCAGCTTGGGCTGGAGCCTGTAAGAAGTGTACTGGAGAGCTTCAGGTCCACCCTGCTAGCTCTTGAAGGCCATGAAGCCAGAGGAGGTGGGCCCTACCCTGCCAACCCAGGATGTCCCTTTGGGGGGCAGTTCCACACATGACCTATCTGGCTCAAGAAGTTACCGAATAGGTACAGTCCGTCCCTGGGCCCCAGAAGTTGTCGTCTCCTGCTCCACGCCTTTGTGCATGTCAGGCTGTGAGACCTCCGGTTGGTCAGCTGGTAGAAGACAGGGAGCCTAGTGAGTTGAATCTAGACGGGGGCCGGAAGGATGTTCTTTAACAAGCATGGGTCCCCCGTGTGGCCACTGTGGAATGGACTGCAAAGTCAAAAGCGGCTCCAAGGCCAGGGCCCTGAGTAGGAACCAGGCCCCCACAGTGAGTCCTGACCCCCACAACCTAGTGATGTACACTGGCTTTCCCACTGAAGGCAGACATCTGGGTCCCCCAGGTCCCCACCAAGGTGACAAGCCTGATGTCACCTAGCCCACCAGCCAGGCTGCCATGGGGAGGTAGCAGCTCTGCCCTCCAGGACCTGTGCATCCAGCCAGGCTGGCATTCCACGAGAACAGGACAGGGGTGGCAGTGTGGGGGGCCCTGTGGAGGATATTTCACTCCTTGACGAGATAAGACATACCACACTGACTGGTTAGAAAAGAGGAACTTGGGACAAACTAAGTGGACAGATGGCACATTTGGGGAAACTGAGACTCTAGGTATAGGAGTGGGCACCTCCGGGTCCCGGTACGTGCATTGGTGAACTGGGTGGACCCAGTTGACAGATAGGAAAACTGAAGTCAAGTTAAGGTTGGGCCTTGACCAGGCAAAGTACATGATGGCACCTGAGGCCATAAAGATCCCAAGGTGCCCCCAGGGCGCTGCAAGTTTGTAACCGTGGAGTGGGCAATCGGGGTGATCCCTTGGACCACATGGCCAAGGATGGGGTGGGGTTAGCAAAGGCAGGATTGGGGAGAGGAGAAGTCTTTGGAGTCAGCTCCCTGCTGGGCCTCACCAGGTATACCTGAGGCCGGCATGCGTGGGATCTGGGGAGTAGCCTCTTCAAATGCAGGTGGCTCACTTTGCCTGGTGTGGGGGAAATCCCCCGGGGAGGGGCTCAGGGCTTCTGAACTCAGCAGTCTCCAAAGGACAGAAGTGGCATCTTGGTCAGCTCCATCCTGGGTAGGGTGGACTGAGTCCTCCACAGAGGTGTCTGTGGACAGGAGAATGGGAACACAAGGTAAGTCTGGCCTGGGGACTGAAACCCCAGGCATGGGCTCTAAGTGCCCATCCCCCTCACCCCCCCACCCCCCTACCCCACCCCCACCCTCCGCTCTCAGAGACTGCCTTCTCATGCCTATCCTGTTGCCTGCTGTTCCTGGCTTTGGAAGACCCAGGGGGGATACGGCACGGCACAGTGAGGAGCTCTGAGCCCCAGGACAGGGCCACCATTTCCTCCACCAGAGCCATGTACACCCAGGGCCACCCTCCTCGAAGCTAAAGGGAATGGACATGTCCTTCAGAAAGCCCCCCATCTTCAGTGTGCCTCCAGCCCCCCACACCTTCCGTCTCAGCCTGGCTTCGCTCAAGGCTGGCTCTAGACTCTAAACCTTAGACAGACCGGCACATATTAAGGGTCAGGGGAACCATAGGATTGAGCGTTCAGGAAGCCACGCCCGTATTTCACCTCCCAGGGCGCTCAGGCCTCACCCCACGTGGCTGACAGCTTTCTGCCCCCCACCTAAGTGGTCCGAGCCCAGCCCAAGCCCATGTCCTTACCCAGCTCCTAGTGAGCAAGCCCAGTACTCCTCTAAGCCTCTCCTGGGTGTGGCTCATGTTCTCTCCCCTGTACCTTCCAGACCTGCTTACCCACATGGGGGTTCCACACACATGCCCCAGGACTGCTGACCACTCCCTTGCCAACAAGCCCCTGCCCATAGCCTTCTCCTCACCCAGATCCTCCTCAGTGCCTGCGGATGAGGCATCTCTGATACCCCAGACCCAGGCTGGACAGGCACCCAGACCCTCTTCCCAACTCCAAGAGGCCAGCAGCACCCTTAGAATGGGCCTCAGGGCTAGAGGTCTCCTGGCCCTCACAGGCAAGTGCTAGGACCGTAGGTCGTCTCCTCTGAAGACGGTGGAATCGACTCCTATACGTTGAGAGCTTAGGACACATGGGTCACCCAATCTCACTCACGACTCCCCATTTGACCTACAATGGCCTCAACTATCCATGGCTTAGGAAGGCCTACTCAGATTCCCCCAGGCCAAAAGTGACCATGATGCCTGCCCTGGTCACACTGTGAGTCTCAAAGACCATAGACACTGCCAAGGAAAGACTCATTCTTGATCCTGCTCTACCCATGGACCCCAAGGCAGGCTGGGACCTGCGTGCCCTTTATTGGAGTACACAGGTATCCAGCCACCCTAGGAGTCCTATATGATCTGAGATGTGACCTTGGGAAAAAAATGAGAGTAGGTCTAGCAGGTGTTTACAAGAGGGGGGACCCTCAACTTCCAGGAGAACAAGCAAGAAGAAGCAGAGAGGAGGGTCTGGGACTTGTTTTATTGTTCTCATCAGGGCAATGGCCTGGGATTTCCCCTCACCCCACAGCCTGTGCCCACCACAGAAGTGGCCCTGAAGATCTGCAGAGCTGGTAACAGGTCAGCACAGGCCTCGGATGCAACCCTAGGGAAGACCCTCAATGGGGATGCGTCTCAGGGCAAATGCCCAAGTCCACGTCTTGTTTTCAGAGCCCCACAGAAGGCCCGAGGGATGGAGTCCAAAGTTGGAGTCTCTGAACTGCTCCTGGCCAGAGCTCTTCTGAAGTGACACCGGCATGTTCCAACACTACAGGAACTTCTCCATCTTCCCGGCAAAGCACAAGTCCAGTGAGGTAGGAAGGACCGGGCAGGAACGCAAGGACGACTCCATCCCAGGCTGGAGAAGAGCAGGGGGTAAGAGGTCCCCGAGGTAAGCTGTGGGTTCCAGGGTAGGTGCTGGTACCTGGCAGGGCCCAAGGCTCTGGGCCACTCACCTTCCCTGGTTGTCCCCAGGTTGTGTCCCCAGGGTGTGGCATCAACTCTGGGAGGGGTCTGGGGCCTCTCCCCCATCGGGGTTAATATGCAGAGTGACTGTCTCTCCTACAGTCCCAAAGCTGACCGTCTGGGTAGAAACCTCTGTCTTGAAGTTATTCTGGCCGCCATCTACAGAACTCTGGACGTGGGCACGGAAGGAGCTTGTCCAAGGGGTGCCACTTACTGGCCCTGTCCAGTCCTCACGCAAGAGGAAGGAGACACCCTCGGGGCTGTGGACTTGGGGCCCTGACCCGAAGAAGCTGGGCATGGCACTGGGGACCGGAGGACGCCCCACATTGAGCAGGACAGGCTGCCCCACAGTGGGCTCTCTGATCTCTCTCTGGAGCACAGAGACTTCACAGGGAGGTTCATCAGGGGGGCTGGGGGTGGGGTCCCCGCAGCCAAAGGTCTCTCCTTCCTGGGGTACGTAGTCTTCCAGGTCAGCCAATGTTAGCACTCTGCCATTGTGCGTAAGGATTTTAGGGTCACGGCCCTGAAGGTTGCCCACGTCCTGGGGTTCTTCTATTAGGGAGATATCCTCTTCTCTGTCGCTGCCTCCTTCTTCCCTCGCAAAGTTCTGTTCCTCCTGGGAGGCTCCAACCTCCTTTGGCTCAGGGCTAGCAGTTGCCCAGTCCACATTGCCCATTGAGTCCACACGGAAGACGAGGGGTTCACCAACGTGGACTACAGCGGGGCCGCGGGACACACTCTTGTTGTTGGAGTTGTTGGCATTTGGGTCCTTGCCAGCGATCCCACTAGGCAGTGTGAAGACGATGCCCTCTCCACTGCTGGGCATCTCTCGGACAGGAGATGCGCCCCGTGACCCTGTCTTCTTCACCCGGACTTCAATGGTTTCCTCCACCTCTAACCACTTGGGCTTGGGCTGCGAGGCTGGAGCGAGGGCTTCAGCCTCTGTCACAAATAGTGCAGGCACCGGGGCCTTCCTGCTCCCTTCTGCCTCGAGCCTCCGGGATGGACTGGCTCCTGGTGGATACAGCATCTCGGGGGTCAACAGCCCTGGCCTCCGTGGACTGGCAGAGCGGCGGGAGGGTGAACGGGAGGGAGACTTGCTGGGGGACTGGCGTCGGCCACGGGGACTCTTCACCACGGTGGTGATGGTCTCTTCTCTGGTAGAGGGAGAGGGCCCAAGAAGAGATGGGCACAGAGACCCACGGCTTCCCCCAGCACAATGCCATCAGCATATGCCAGAGCCCACGTTAGTGCACGTGTGAGTGAGGGAGCAGGGGATAAGACAGCACCAACTCCTACACATGCACTTGAGCCCAACCTGTACAATCCTAGCTAAGAAAGCCAAAGAAACAAAGCACAAAGTCCCAGTGGTCAGCCTCAGACTTTGGTATGGGATCTCCAACAAGAGTCCCAGGGACCTCCTACCACCAAGTGAGGTGTGCTTTGCAAATGTCCCCTGTGCTGGTCACCCCGCTTTTCCATCCCCTGAGCAGGCTTTGTGCTTTGTCCCCTTGGGATAGTCCCTGGCCAGCTCTCAGTGCCGGAAGCGCCTCAGTTAACAGGATGGATGGCTAGCCGATGCAGCAGCCACATGCACAATACCAAGCTCAGGGTACAGCTGCCTCTGACCTGCAGCCCGTCTTCCTGCTTTCTGGGGTTGAAGGGGGTGAGAACAGGGAGGACTCATCAGACCCAGGAGGACACCTGAATTGGCTACTTAGCTCTGGACTGCTCTGGGCTGCCACAGGCCTTGTGACTTCTCACCTGCCCCGGTCCCTGTCTGCATTCCACCTTCCAAAATGGGAACGAGGGTGACAGGAGAGGGAGGCAGAACTTGGGCCCCAGGGTGAGTGGCAGACCTTGGCTAGGACTTTCCAAGCTTCTGGGTATGGGCTCCATTGCTTCTTGCTCCCAGCAGAGGTATGGATAGAGAAATAGAAGGGCGGGGAACTTGCCCAGGGCTATGTCACAAATACTGGTTAACTGGGTTTCCTCTGGCACCAGGGGCCATGGTCTAGATATCTCAATGTGTCTGATAATACTGCTCCTCACGTGGCAGATATGGACAACCATTGGTTTTGCCAAGCTCCAGCATGGGGCCTTTCCAAGGCCGGGGTCGGGTGCACAGGCTGGGTGGCATCATGGGAGCAGCCCACCTTAGAAGGAGAGACGTGGATGAAGGGCAATAAGGGACAAGCCAGATTCCACCCAAGGTCTGCAGACAGAATTCTCTAGCAACACGGCCGCCCCATAAGAGAATCCCCTTACTGGGCTTCCCTGTCTCTTGTACCCCCTCTCATCTCCTGGTGGAAGGCTTCCCAGATTCTCCAGGTCCCACACAATCCCACATCCTGTGGGGTCACCATGCTCTGAGCTCCTGGAATCCACACATAGGATTTTGTTTGCGCTTTGAAAGCACCAGAGGATGAAGAAAGGACTAGCTGGTGGAGGTGGCTCTCAGATGGCCTCCTTACTTTCCAGAGCCTCAGTTTCCCCATCTTCCAAATGTAAGGGCTGGCCTTGGAGACACAAATGCTCCAGGGCTATGACACCTACCTACCATTGTAGCATTATTTAGGTTAGGTCCAAAGAATAAAACCCGGGTCACATTTCAGATTTGGCTGTCTATTGTACTAAACACGTTTAAATGCTGTGTTGGGCAGGGCAGGTTATGGAATGGGAATCGACTGCTGCGGGAAGCCTGACCACCAACATTCCCCTAAACTCTCGGGCACTAAAGGGCAGAAGTCTGTCCTGAGGGCACTGAGGGAGACAGACGGCTTTCATTGCCAGCTTTCCCCCACGGCTGGGAAGCCACTACTCTGGTGAGTCGCCATGAAGTGTGTAGAATAACAACACTCTGCAGAGTGTGCTCTGAGGCCTCAGAAGGGAGCTGTGGTGTGTAGAGGTTCCACAGACCTGGGGACGTGGCTGGGCTAGGTGCCCGCAAGAATCCACCAGGTGCCGATGACCCATGGGGTACGTGAAGGTTGTGTGCACAGGCAGGCAGGCAGGCAGGCAGCAAGGGCATCAGGCTGGCAAGGTGAGGGGGTTAATAGCATGCATGGGCACGGCAGTCAAGGAAGATTAGAGTCACGCCTGCACTTACATGATGACGGTTTTCTTGGGGACTTTTGTCTCCTGCTCAGTGACTACAAAGAAAACAGTCGGAACAGCAACCGTTACAGACCAGCAGCGCCGGGGGGCGGAGCTATCTGAGTGGTGGTGTTGCTCGCATAGCAACCTGCTTGGTGTAGGAGCGTGGTCTGGCCCTGCCTGTCTGCGTGTTCCTGGGAAGGCCTTTGCAGGTGGGGGGTGGGGTCCCTCATCTGCGAAACAGGGGCCAGTACCTGCCCTATGGGTGGTGTCAACCTCACATCTCACATGAAGCACCTAGTGTCCTTAGGGTGCCGCACTGGCTGGGGCTGGGGTGAAGAGTCTGCCTGCATAAAAACCTCACTCTTTACTCAGCCCATCGGTCATGAGAGTCCTGTGAAGTTGTCACACATACGGCTCCACTTCTCAGACATAGAATCTGAGCCCCGGGCAGGGCCAGGGGTGGGAACGGGGCTGGAGCTGCACAGTGAGTCATCAGGCACTAAGACTGAAATAAGATGGCCGATGCCTCTTTTACAAAAAAAAATCATGAAGACTTAAAACAGGATGGACCCTAGAGTTCCAAAAATGGTATATCTGAGCTGTTGGTGGGAGGCCACAGATGTCCTAGGAACAGCCCTAGACAGTGCCTTGGGATGGGAAGGGGACCTGCCTCTCTCAGTAGAGACAAACCCAGCATGTCTCTGTCCTAGACCAGCAGCTCCCACTAGTATATGGAGCTCTAGGTTGAGAAACAAGCTGGGACTCATCTGGGACCAGATTGTCTCTGACTCTACGCAGCAAGAGGGCTCTTCCCCTATAGTACCCTTAGATGGACTCTCAGATGCACCCCAAAGGCTTGGCAGCCGGGCAGTAGGCAGCCTGTAGACTGCCTGCACCCTCATGTCTCAGTAGACTCCTTTATAACCTTGTGGGGGAAACTGCCCAGGGGTGTAGCCTGGGGCACTATCTCATGAGTCCTGGTTTGCTGCAAGGCCACACAGAGGAAGGCAACAGCGCATGTTATCCTCCCTCAGCTGAGGTGCACATGAGTTAAAGTACCATCAGAGTCTGTGTGTAGAGCAGATGCATTTACTATGTGCTTGTGTATAGGCACATACATACATATGTCTTGCACACAGGCACATATATGCTTACATATGCATATATATGTTTGTACACACATGCATTCATGTGTGTGCATGTATATGTGTACATTATGTGCATGGATACACACGTGCTACACATATGTACATGCACATGTGTGTAGGCATGTATGTGTTTCTAAGTGTGTGTGTGTGTGTGTGTGTGTGTGTGTGTGTGTTTGTGTGTGTGTGTGTGTTTGTGTGTGTGTGTGTGTGTGTAGGTTTCCCCTAATGGAAAGGGACTCCACAGTGAGAATCTAAGTTCCAGCCCCAAAGCTTGGTGTACACAGATGACCAGCGTGTTTCCCACCTGCTCCACCACCTTCACCTTCCCTAATGGATCCCGTTTTCTGCTCTCAAGGGCCGTGGGCACAACACCCCTGAGACGCTGCGTTCGGGTCCCTTTGCTCACAGTGCTCAACTGTAACAGCGTCAGGCCTGCGTGTGACTGGCGGCCACAGGCAGGCTGCCATTGTGCAAAGCAGGGCTCCCAGCCTGAGGCAGGACAAAGCAAGAGTGCAGCCACCCCCGCAGAGTTCTGTCAGACCACTCTGGCTGCAGAGCCGCAGGGTTAACAGGAAGCAGGGTGGGAGTTAGGAAGCAGGTTGGCAGGACTCTGGCTCCAGGGTCTTCCAGGACCAGCCTTCTTGCCTCCCCAAGGCGTCGATACACATCCAATCCTGGAGAGTCCTCAAGGCCTGCTCCTTCCAGACTGCCATCCCTCCTCGCTCCCAGAAAAAGACTCATCACGAGAACCACGTAAATGACTATTCAGGATGCTCTTGTGCACAGGACAGGCTGCGCACCGGAAGAGCGTGTGCTGGTGGCGGCAGACGCAAGTGTGCACGGTGTTTCAGCGACCAGGTTGTGGTCAGACAGAGAACAGGTCTGAGAAGTCACAGCAAAGGGCTTGTGCAGGGTCTCTGACCCTATGAGGGACAAGAACTCATCAAAGAAGCAGGGGGGGGGGATGTCTCTGAACGGACAGTGAAGGACATCAGAGGTCCCAAGGCTGAGCTGCTGGGCTCTGACCAGCTCGGTTCTGAGAAGGTCTAGGAAACTGGACCACTAGATGGCAGGAACTGGTTCCAGTAGCCAAGGGACCGCATGTGCCAACTTTCAGTATGCAAAAGATATGTATGCCACCCCTTCTACTATGGGAACTGTGGCTCACTTGGTGTTGGTCCTGTCTCTGTTCGCCTATCCCCAGGGACGTGGGGCTCTCAGGTGTCTTGGAGCCCCTTCCAGACAGGACAGCACTAGCTGGCTCCTCCCCATCCTGACTGTCCACGCAAGTGTCTTGTCATAACCACTTCCTCCGATCTGAAACACTCCCTCTCGGAGAGAGGTTCATCAAGACTCAAGAAGTCAACAAAATGTACAAGGCGCTGCCAGCTTCCCGGGTTACCTAAGCTGTAACAACCGCTTCCCAAGTTAGTTACCTAAGCTGTAACAACCGCTTCCCAAGTTAGTTACGTAAGCTGTAACAAGCTCTGGGAAGTGGAGACTGACCGGCAGAGCTGCCCCAGACTGTGCTGCAAGTTCTAAGGATACAACTTTTTGAGTCCTTGCTCTTGCCGAAGCGGGCCCCCCATGATATGTAACCCCAACAATCTCACGGGATCACTAATCTCGACTTGGGGAGAACTGCGTTTTAATCTGTCATCGGTGCCATCCCTGGGACAAATAGGGACATTTCATCTCACTAGTGATAGTCGCACACTAGTGGTGACTGCGTAAGGACCAGAAGAACTAAAGACATCTGGGGTGAAGCGGTTGCGTGGATCCTGCAATGGGTGCTGACATACGCAACCTGGGCTCCATGCTGCGGAGGCCATGAAAGCGGGGTGATGCACAGGAGTCCTGCCGCAGCAACGGCACCTCAGGGTGAGGCGGTCAGGTGGTTCATGAAAAGTGACTGTGAATTCGGGAAGGCTAGATGAGGCGGTACCTCCCATCTGTGCCTGCGACTGCTCTTTGACGAAGCAACAGATAGAAGTGATGTGATCTTTTACTACGACACTGGCCCTCTATAATGTTTCTCTTTGAGTACACCCCTAGCTGACCAAGGCCACTTGATACTTAGAATGGATGATGGTTGGCCTTCAGAGAACCCACCCACCCTCTGTTTAAAAAAAAAGTCTCATCATTTAATGCTGACCCCTGAGGCGAGTCTTACAGATTTGTTAAAGCATCTGGAAGAACAGCGAAGGAGTTCAAAAGAAAGCACCTACATGTCTGGGAAGACACCTGTAGAAGCATACGTCTGTTGACTAAAGATTCCAGAGCCAGCGGTGGGCTGCTTCTCTACATCTGTGGGCTATGGAAGCCCCCAAGGCCTTACAAACCATAAAGGCCGTTGTCACTGCTGTATACCAGGGCTAAATGGTACGATCCTGCTCTAAAGCTGTCACACACTCTGAACACAGGACATGGGAAATAAGGTTGGAGCTGAAATGGAAATTCCCTCTTTGCTGGCTAGTGCCAGAAGGCGCTGCCTGGACCACTGGTAAAGTGTGACAAACAGTCATCATCAGCTATGAGTGGCCACGTGTACGACACTACTAACATGCCAAGCAAGGTGTGCTTGCTAGTACAACATGGGCACAACTGTTGCGGGACCACCATCTGCTTTCCTATTAGATTTAACGTCTGCCCCATGAGAGGGAAGCCGCATATGGTACAGTAAGGAAGGGCAAAGCCTGTGGTTCCAGTGTGGAGGTAACTACTGTTGTCTTGTTCACTGGACGCGATGTGCCTATCAGACTGCCTTCTAAACATTTGTGTTTACACCCATCCATAACTGCAGCTGTCCGCTTTGGTCAGTCAAGCTGGTCAGTCATAGAGGAAAACTTCACTTTTTCCAGGGAGGGGTGTGCTACAGAGACTCATAATCCATTCGCTCCTGGAAGTAAATGACGGTTTCTCTGCCACACTCAGCCATGGATGGAAGAAAATAATCAGACATCTCCACCATCCCTCCAAGGCTCAGGGAACTCCAAAAAAAGGGGGTGGGGGAGTCAGGAAGAATGTGAGAGCCTGGAGAAGGAGTGGAATACTATGTGGCTACATCTTCCAGTCTGCAGCATGCCTTCAATGAGGGAAAGTCATGAAGACAGAGGAAGGAAGGAAGGAAGGAAGGAAGGAAGGAAGGAAGGAAGGAAGGAAGGAAGGAAGGAAGGAAGGAAGGAAGGCCCCTCCTCAGGGTCATATAAACAGAGGCTGTTACTAAAGCCAACCCATAGAGCTGCTTGCAAAGTATGTCACATGGGCGATGTGCTCCGGAGATGTAGCTTTCAGGATCAGTCACCCATGCTGGGTTGGACTTTTCAGTGACATCGCTGCCTTTGAGTTATCCGTGTTTCTGTAAGTAACCCCTCACCCAGACTAGTAAGTAATCCTGACAAACTCTTCAGTTTGCTAAGACTCATGTAGAATTATCTCTTTGGTCTATTATAGATGATCTGAAGCAAACAGAGGCCTGTTTACATCTTCCAGGATGAGTAACCAACCTCACCTGACCGTCCCTAGTCAGGCTTATTTATCTAGTTCTTAATAATAATTAGTATGTACACACTATACATGTGAGCGCTGACACTCACAGAGACAAGATTGTGTCAGATACCCCCTGGAACTAGATTTACAGTACATGGCCATGTACTGGGACCTGAACTCAGGTCCTCTGCAAGGGCAGCCAATGCTCTTAACCACTTAGTTATCTCTCCAGTCCCTAGTGAGGCTGACTTTATAGCTCACTCCCACCCTCTCCGCTAGTACATCAAGAGTGACCCTGAGCCAAGACAAGGACACTGAACTGCAGCGTTGTGCTTCTCACGGGCAGCCCATCCCCGCGGGATGTCCCACACCTGCCCCTGCTCCCAGCAGTGTGTCTTCTGCACTCAGTGAGGACCCCTCACCCACTCCTGCTGCCACCTGCCCAGAGCCTCCACGACCACTGCCAGTCAAGCTGACGCAGGCCCAGCTCTGTCTTTTCTGCAGAGACAGTGGTTGAGGAGGACTGTGGGATCCCCATTATCCAGGGCAACTTCCAGCTCTCACTTGGGGCTTACGGCCTTCCAGCCCTCACAGGGGCACCCATGACCCTGCAGCTACCTCCTCTGACCTCCCCAGCTTTCAGCCTCCATCATTTTCCCCCCTGAGATGCTAGCCCCCTCCTCCTAGAGGCACCTCCTGGTTGGCAGGGCTGACAGTTTCCGGTCCACCAGGCTCTTTCCAGGCCAGTGGAGGTTCCCACCTGGGGCTTGAAATGCGTGAGTCGCTAAGATGGGCAGCACAGGCAGACAGAACCTACCTTCCACAGCGGCCACCAGCTGTTCCCGGTGGTGCTGGTCCCGGGCACGCAGGGCGGGACTCTGCATGTACAGTTCTCCACCGCCACGTGTGGAGCCCAACCGGTTCACCAACTGCCAAAAGGACAACAGAGGCCCACTGAGAACCCAGGCTCCTCAAGGGACCTGGACCCTCTCGCTAGAACCGCTCTGATGGTCTAGGGGTGTGGGCCACACCCCTTAGTGTGTTTTGTACGGGGTGGGGGGTGGGGAAGAGCTCCTAGCCCAATTGTGGGCTCCCTAGAGACTCCTTATGTGGAGACTGCTCTCTTTCTCCTCTGGCCAGGGGGTGGCTGCTCAGCTGGAGGTGGGGGGCAGGGGATGAGCACTTGAACTAGAACAGTAGGAACCTGAAGAAACTGGAGTTAACTTTAATGAGTCATCGCATGGCCCCTGGCCCCTGTCCTCTCAAATCCAGAGTTAACTTGAGTACCCTTGCTTCCAGGAAGTCTTATGGGAGGCAAGAGGCCCTAGGGTCACAGTTGAAGCCACACAGAGGAGTCTGGCTTCCAGACAAGAGCTTTAGTAAGAGCTGGACACAGGCCAGAGGACCCAGACTGGTCTCCACCTCAGATCTGAGGACAGAGAGCACAGGGATGGAGGCTGAGCTTTGCAAGGGCAAGGCCAGACTCCCCGGGTAAATGGCACTACATCTTTACATTCGTGAGTGACAGCTGAGGTCAGCACCACGTCCTCTCCAACAGACTAAGCATCATCTTGAAATGGTGGGGACAATGGAAAGGGGACAAGATAACAGGGCCCAGCCTAACATGAAAGGACAGGCTACAGGTAGATGAGGATGGTGGCTGACAGCAATCTGATGTCCTCTGGTCGGCCTAGAGCATCAACACGCACACAGCGGAACCTGGGTTTAATCGGACCACAGAGGATGGCTACTGCCCCTCATACACATGCCTCACCTCACACTCATAGTGCCCCAAGTCCTCCTTGCTGGCTGCCTGGATCACCAGCACCAGCACACCACTGCGGGGCTCATTCAGCATCCGGTACTTGTTGCCCAGGGTTAGCAGGGCACCATCCTTGTACCACCTGAAACCATTCAGGAGGTCCTGTGAGCCAGTGCCCAGCCAGAACCATCTTCATGGTACCCTCAAGGTCCCCAGGGCCCCTCCAGACAGAGCTGCTGGTGCTTAAAACCCCTCCTAGGCTACCCCAGGTCCAGTGTCCCTAGGAGGTTCCCTTCCTGGAAGCCACGGTCCAGCCATGTCTTCCCAGCCACAGAGGGTCCTACGTCCAGCAGGAGTCACAACCCCATGATACCCACTTTCCAGCGATCAGTGGCCATGTACAATCTCCCTGGCTTAGAAGGTCAGGCTGTCTAGCCCTCCCTCCAATGGCAGGAGCTGCATCCCTTACCCCTTCAGCCCAGGCCTCACCTGATCTGAGGGTACGGGGCACCTTCCACAGTGCAGGTGATCTGTGCATCCTCCCCCTCCACAAAGGGGGTGGCCCGGACCTTGTTCACAAACCGTGGGGGCACTGTGGGCAGAGGCAGGCAAGGGCAAGAAAGACAGAGACATATCTGGGATGGAGCTGAGGGAATGCTGGGGTGGGGACGCTGGTGTCCCCACTTCCAGCAGTGGCCTTCCTCTGGGAGTTTCTGGAGGCCCCAAGTCCCCGGGCCTGCTCCACCCGCAGGCCCAACCCACATGCCTGCCCTACCCCAGCCTGTACTCTGGACGGAGTCCACACTATTGACAGTGGACTGGTGGGGTGTCCAGCACACCGGACAACCCACTCTGCTCACCTTGTACTAGAATCTTCCCCAAGGTGCTGGCATTGCCAGCAGCACTGGCCGCAAAACACATGTACTGGCCAGAGTCGACACCGGTCAGGTTGTCCAAGATGAGGGTACAGGAGCCATCAGGGTCTTCGATGAGGATGTGGTGTGGGTCCACCTCCACCGGCTTCCCATCTGGAAAGCAGAGGCAGGCTTTCATGGAATAAGGTCCCAAAGGCTGAGGCCTGGGAATAAGAGGCTGGATGCAATCTGTTCTCTCTGTGTGTCTCTCTCTCTGTCTCTGTCTGTCTGTCTCTCTCTATCCACCCCTCTCTTGGTCTGTCTCTCTGTCTCTTTTTCTGAGTGTCTTTCCACAAGGGCCCTGACACAGATATCTGTCTCTGTCCAACTTCAACACTCTAGGAACAGAGGGTGGGACGAAAGGGTCTGAACTGGAGAAGGCGCTCAGTAAGGACAGCTGGCTTTTGGTCACTCCATCTCCTCAATGGCTGCACCTCTTCCGAGCATCTTGCATGGCGACAATGCCCAACATACTTGATGTGAACTCCCCTTCCCTCAATCGCCTCCACCCTGCAGACCTAGAACCTGCATGAGCCATTCCGGAACCGCCCTTCCTCTCTCCACCTCTGACCCTGTCCGCAGCCAGCCAGCCAGCCCCAGTAGCAAGACAAGCACCCAGGGTTTGCCCTGAGCAAGTGGAGACCACCCCAAGCAGACAGCTCCGACCTCGGTACCAGGCCTGTCCAGAGGGTCCCCCCTCCCAGGCCACACCCTTGTGCCTTTCCTCTCAAAGATAAAGTTCCAGTTTCCTCAGACATGAGTAGCCAGAACCTCCCCTCTCCGTTTGGGGAAACCGCGTCTCCTGCAATTTGTCCCCACTCATGCTAAAGGGAGGCACTCTGGAGCCATCTGCAGCGGATGAACACGCCAGACACCTATCTTTTCGATCATCGCCTTTGTAAAACACATTTGAAGGTTGGAAATAAATTCTGAAACAGTAGTGAAAGCAATGCATGGCTCGTGGTAAAAGATTCGAAGGCTAGGCTGGGCATCGTGGTACCCATCTTTATCCCAACATTTGGGAGGCAGAGGCAGAGGCTGAGTTTGAGGCCAGCCTGGTCTACAAAGCAAGTTCTAGGACAGCCAGGGCTGTTACTCTCTCTCTCTCTCTCTCTCTCTCTCTCTCTATATATATATATATATATATATATATATATATATATATATATATATATATATATATATATATATATGGCTAAGTCATCATATAAACATCCACCTAAACATCTCAGGCAAGCCTGTTTCTTTCATGAGAGAGCAATGGGGAGGCCCAGGTACTTTGCCATAGAGAATCCACAGCCCTTAATATTTCAAAACAAGTAAAACTAAACACATCCACATTATCACAATGATTCTGACTGTGTCTCCATGGACCCAGAGGGACTGGAATCCATTGTATATAGCATGTGGGGACCTTGAGAAAGAATGTCAGCTTCTCAGCTCTGCCAGACACAGATGTCACATCTCTTTTCCACCCAATCAGACACTGGGAGGCACCCTTTGGGTACCACAGCCTTGTCTTCTACCCCTGGGTGCTCAGTATGTTTGTGGCTCTCCACTGTGGGCATGCTGTCCCCAGAGGGGATGGACTCCATGTAGAAATTTGGCAGCAGAGGAAGTAACTGCTGCCCAGCCCAGCCCAGACTCCTTGTCTGTTCCCAGATTGGCTGACAAGCCGCACAGAATCCAGGAGGGAAAAGAGTTCAAGGATCATTGGAGGTCAAGTCATATTCGGTGACCTTGGATAGTGGCAAGGAGCTAACTACAGGAGACGAATTGGTTCAGTCAGATAAGGCACTGCTCATGTAGCCCCAGCTGGTGTGGACATCCTCAGTGAGACTAGCAGCAGCTCCTGATGGGCCATCTTGGGGACACCAGATATGACTCCTCTTTTGTCTTGGACAATAACAGCCAAAATCCTTTTGAGTTCACAAGGCAAGGTCTGTCACATACAGCCATGGCACCTCTAAGTCTGGACTCAGCACTCTGACCTTCAAGGTCCTTTGACAGCCCATTTCTGCTCACTCGGTGCTCTCCTGGCTTGTAAGTCAGAAGCATCCATCTCGGGTGCCCAGGTTTGAGTGTTGCGCTCCACCAGCAGGGCTGGCTGAGAAACCTAAGATTCAGGGTTCTGTTCCCAGTGTGGAGTGTCTCAGAATTACGTCGGCATCCACAATAACCAATCTTTGTCTTTCAAGTCCTCCATGGGAGACTACCTCGGAGGACTCTTGGACCCTGGGGACAGTGAGTGTCCCACCTGTGTCTTGTCATTGGTCTCAGCCAGTCAGTTTAGCGTTGGCCTGAGGGCTTCCCAGAGCACTGCAGCATGCGGCGGACCTTCTGAACTCTCCCATGGGCGGGATTCCCTTGAGCACTGCTATGGTTTCAGTGTGGGTTTTCCTGGAGTTCTGTGGTGGAAGCTTCGTCTCCACAGTTGATGTTGAGGAGTTAGAGCCTCTTTAGGGGAGGGCTCTAGGTGAAGTGGGTCAAGCCGCTGAGGTTAGTGCCTTGAGAAAAGGTTGATGCCGGTCTCTAAGTGTAACTCAATTTTTCAAGAGTTATTCAGAGAACAAGCCCAGCCAGAGCACCTCTTCCTTCCTGTCCACCGTGATTGCTCCCTCCAACTAACACATATCGCCACCATGATGCTCGCTGCCACACTGTATGGCAGCCAGCCAACAGGAGCGTCACCAGGTGACACTATGCTTTTAGGATTTTCAGCCTCCAAACCCTGATAGCAAAAGAAATCTCCTTAGTTTATAAAGAATACAGACTCTGGCACTTTGTTACAGCAACGGAAAACTGAAGCTCTAACGTCAGCAGGCTTCTGGCTGGTCTTGGGCAAACTTGAAGTTTCTGAGACTCATCATTTTGCCAACTGAAGTCTCTGGCGTAGGAGGCTCAGCTTGGGGTTTGAACCTGACCTCTTTCCAACATGGCCACTAGAGACATCCCTTTCAAAAAAATCAACTCTTTGCATGTTGTGGGGGCTCTGATGGAAACCAGACACTCAATTCGGTGATGTCCTATGTGTCCATTCTATGATGAGACAGTTTGGACGCCGTGACAAGCAAGACAAGCAGTGCCCATCCAGCCTCACTCACGGAATCGAAGGAACCGATTTCCCAAATTCACATGAACAAGTGGCTACCCTCCCAGAATGCGGTACTCTATCCTCCCCATTCTACTCCCAATGCCAATCTGCTTTGGTTCCCTGAGAGTCTGGATCCATGAATCATTCGTTGTCCAGGTAAGCAGAAAGGCAGCAGCACACAGAGCTCTGCGCTGGGCAGTCGTGGGCAGAGTTCAAGGCCACTCTTAGAGTGCGCCCCATGCAACTCTCTGGTGAAGCCCATTGTATTCTTAGTAAACCAGCCATTTGTTTTACCATGTAAACAGCTAGAGTGGCAGGTTAAAGGAGTCCCTCTTGGGGGCCACAAAGCATAGATCAACTGAAGATAAACACCCGACAAACTGAGGACACCTCACCCAAAACTCCAGGACTCTTGTATGGGGCCACGACAACACAACACCACTTTGACCCACCCCCAGCTTGACAGACACAAAGCTATGCTACATGCTAGACAGAAGGCTATTGAGAGATGCTCTCACGCCTACAGAGAGCATGGCCACATCACCTGGGGTACCCACACCCTCACCCTGGCAGATGGTCCCATGAAACCAGCCACACTGCTTCTGGTCAATGAATGTGGCCAACATGAGCCACGTGGCGCCACGTGGGCCTCCTACCATCTGATGACCACTCACAAAGCCACTCCAGGACCTGACTGTCCCGTGTGTCCTCTGGTCCATGCACCTCACGAAGGTTTTTTGGGTCACTGAAAGTGGCTTCCCCCTCCCCCCAAAAGACTGTCTCTTCTCCTCCAGGCTCCTTACTGGAGGACTAGGCAGGGCCTGGCCACAGGCTTCACTTTCCTCCTAACAACCCAGCCAAGAGAGATGGAGTGCCAAGGGCTCAAGCTGACCTCTGGCTTGTTTTGATGAAAAGGTGTTTATCCCCCTAACTTGACCTCTGGATGTAAGGAGGGATGGATGGCTGGGTAAAGGGGCAGGCTCTGTGCAGCTAGAGGGAGGCGGCTGTGAAGGGACCCTCCAGCCCCAGGACCAGTGGTCACAAGTGGTCTTCTCTAGAACCAAGAGATGACACCCAGGGCAGCTCTCTCAAGTCACCACCAGGAGCCGGCCATGTGTCCCTCTATTCTCACAGCCCAATAAGAACGAGGCATGATTCAGGATGCTACTGTCTGCTGTATCACAGGAAGAAAAATGTCTTTGTCCTAGATAGGAGAAGAGGAGGAATCACGTGGAACCTTCTCCCTTTTACTTATGTATGTATGTATGTATGTATGTATGTATGTATGTATGTATGTATGTATCTATTTAACTATTTATTTATTTTGGTTTTTCGAGACAGGGTTTCTCTGTGTAGTTTTGGAAACTTTCCTGGAACTCACTCTGTAGACCAGGCTGGTCTCAAACTCACAGAGATCCGCCTGCCTCTACCTCCTGAATGCTGAGATTAAAGGCATGCATCACCACCACTGCCCAGCTGTTGAGCCAGCCAGGAGTCTCTGGAGAACTCCACTTGGTCTACCATCCAGCATCCAGGATCACCAGGAACCAATAGAGCTGGTACATCCAGATCTAGGGTCTTAAGGGCTCCCATCTGGGCCCCACCTCAGGAGCTGGTCATAGGTAGGCATGATAGTTACCAGAAGCCTCACTGGGGGTAGGTACTACTTCCAGGTCAAAGCTGGAACAGCTACCCACTACACTAGACCTTGGGGCTTACGTGTATGTGTGCATGCATCTGTGTATGTCTGTGTACATATATATTTGCAGTGTTTATGTATGTGTGCATGTGTAAATGCATGGAGCATGTATCTGTGCATATGCATTAGTGAGTCTCCACGCCTGTGTCTGTAGTGTGTTTGTGTACATGTGTACTGTCTGTGTATACACCTGTGTAGTAAACATATGAATATATGTATTATCTGTGTCTATGTGTCCATGTGCTAGTGTATATCCATGCATATAAGAGTGTCTAGCGTGTACTTTTGCATTATATTCATGCATGTGGCATGTTTCTGTATGCACTGGTGTAATGTTCAAGTTATATATGTATGCCATGTACATACAAGTATGTGCAGTGTGTGTATGATCTGTGATGGGGTGGTCCACAGGTAGGTGGGTGGGCATAAAGGCACATTTCAGTCTGGTTGTAGGTGATGGTCACTGTCAAGCTGGTCATCTGCCCTTATCCTTGCTGAGGGTCCTCTCTCTGTCTCTCTCTCTCTCTGTCTCTGTCTCTCTCTCTCTCTCTCTCTCTCTCTCTCTCTCTCTCTCTCTCTCTCTCGTGCGCACGCGGCTCACTGTTCCTCATCTCTCCAGACTCTGGAAGTCAGAGGACCCATAGGATCACTAATGCCAGTGAGTCCATAGTACAAGCTCTAGGCCTCACAGATACCTGATGTTAACAGTGTCTGTGGTGGGCACTCTGGGCTCTGGCAGTATCGATGTGACTTCAGACTGAGGTTGGCCATGTGAGAAGTCAAGCATGACCACTGACACAGACCCAGTTCATGACCTGAACTGGAAGGCTCGGGTGAGCTTCCTGGCTAACAGTGCTCTGTCCCTCTCTGTATCACGCACTGATGCTGGGGGACGAGGGAGCTGGCCGCATGGCTCCACTGGGAGAGATAAATGGGAACTTACACATGGCAACTCACAGACCCTGCCCAGCTGACTTCAGGCTGGCCCCTTCCGCTGCGGTAAAACACAGCCCTGAACGGAACAGCTCTGCTGAATTCCAGGGAGTCCACGGAGTGAAGGATTATGGAAGAGGCTCCTGGGACTTTGAGCCTGCAGCTGGTGTTAAGTGAAAGGGCTCTGGGGATCCCCAAACTTGGCATCAGAATTGTGGGTGCTCTTGGAGACCTCTGAATTGGCATCAGAAAACCAGGTGCTCTTGAGGACCTTTCGAGCCACAGTTGATGTCAGGAGTCAAGGTTCTGGGGAACCCGAACGTGCAGGTGGTGTCAGTGGTGGGGCTGGTCGGAGACTCTGACCTTCGCAGCTCCTCCCATCACAGCTGAGTGAGGGGGTGCAGCGTGACCCTCTACCCCAGCGCTGTCTCAAGCCCCCTCCATCCGCATAGCTCTGCTTCCCCGTGTGACTTTGAGCTTGTTGTGACATGTGACTTGTTGACCGGAACTGCTCCTCAGTGTCATGGCTACTGCTTACCCAGACCCTCGTGTCTGTCTCTCACTCATGCAGAAGCTTTTAGACCCGTCATCTCAGAGGCCTGTCCTGCTTTTTGTCATTGCCCCAAGCCAATGTCTTCTGGATAGCCACAACACTGCCTGGCTTTAGGTTTATTTATCCATCACCTGTCTCCTACCCTACCTCATCACCCTCTTGAGCAGGACCACCTGTCTCCTGCCTCTCAGGCCTCATGTACCGCTGGGCAGGTTCTACATTCTCAGGAAGTTCTTCCCTATTGCAGAGCCAGCTCCCCACAGTAAGGCTGGAGACCCTCGTCCCTGGGTACCTTTGTACCAGCTGACAACAGGCTTAGGTGTGCCAGTCACTCGGCATGCCAGCTTGACTGTTTCGCCCAGCTCAGCAGTGCAATCAGCCAATTCCTCTTCAAAATCAGGGGGACCTGAGGATACATAAGGAGGTCTCCGTGTTTTGTGTACAGCAGGTCAGGCCTATGGTCTTAATTGCATACACTCTGGCAGGTTTCCCACCCCAATGCTAGCCCTCCATGTCTCGCAGTATGGCTGCTACCATCTGGGGTCCCAACTTAGGATCAAAGGTGAGTGAGGGAAATTGGATGCACAGTGGGAAGGGGTGGGACCGTGGTAAAAAAAAAAATGAAGAGTTTGGGAGATTCCTCAGTGGGTAAGAGCGTTTGCTGTGCAAGCATGGGGACCTGAGTTTGAATCCCCATCATCCACATGAGGTCACAGCCTCATGTGACTGTATCCCCAGCATTGTGGAGGAAGAGACAAGCAGATCCCTGGAGCTCACTGGCCAGCCAGCTTCCTCCAAAAAAGTAAGCTCCAGATTCAGTGAGAAACCCTGACTCAAAGAAATAAGGCAGAGTGGCTGAACAGAACACCTGGTATCCTGCTCCGGATCCAGAATATATACACCGGCCCACATACCAACACACACATGTGTACATACATGTGTGAACACATTACCACCAAAGGTTAATATTTTTTTTGAGACAGGGTCTCTCTGTGTAACAGTCCTGGCTGTCCTGGAACTCACAGAGATCCATCTGCCTCTGCCTCCCAAGTGCTGGGATTAAAGGTGTATGCCACCTTTAATTAATTAATTAATTAATTAATTAATTAATTAATTAATTAATTAAAATTTTAAAAACATTGGCTAATTAATTAATTTTTAAAAACATTGGATGGTATGTTTTTGTTCTGGATGAGGAAGGCTGATTCAGGGTGCAAGATTCCCCTACATCTTGCAGAATCCAGATGGATGTCCTGAGCTTGGGATCTCTGTGTGGGAGCTTCCTGCTGTGTCCCCAAGTGCCCTCTCCCTGGTCAGGGGTAACCTGATACTCCATCTGGATTTCCCTGTGAGGTTGTGGTTCTTATACCCCACCCAGAGCTGACAGGACAGAATGGATCCCTCTGCTCCCAAAAGCACTCCCTCATGCCCAGAAGGCAAGGGCCAAGGCAGTGCCACCCAACTACCTGAGACTCAGGGTCTCCACAGCCTGGGTGCAGCCCAGCTGGACAACCAGGGTAAAGAAGGGTCATGTCCCCATCCTATCCTGACCACGATGGCCCACCAAAGGACACTCACGCCACACAGGCTGGGCCAGGCGCTGCTGGATGCCACAGATCTCCTTCACCCATGAGTTCTTGATGATGACTGTCCGTGCCTGGAGCAGGTACTTGCGCACAGAGTCCTCCCGTTCATGCCACACCTCAAAGGCGCGGTCATCCCCCTCGACCTGGTCATTCAGGTCGATGCTACTCAGCTGTGGGGAGAGGATATCGGTAAGGAGGATGTGACCACCCTCAGATGATGTGGGACCCAGGAGGGATACACTTAGGTTATCCCAGAACAGTGGCCGAGGGACTGGCCACCAGCTTCCACTCTGAAGCCTGAGAGGCAAACGGACCTCCACCGACGACACATTCGCTTGTGATTCGCCCTACAGAGCCCTTAGCAGCCCCTGCACACACAGACCTTCATCATGTTCCGGAACACATAGCTGAAGGTGTCCGTCCGAGAGTCTCTCCGGGGCTTGCAGATCACCAGATGGTTTCGGAAGAGGAAGACATGCCGGTTGTGGCCCTTCCAAGGCATCCGGGCCCCTGGTGCCCCCTCCCACACTATGAAGTGGCCCTGGAGGTGTGAATGGGCTCTGGTTAACCAAGCCTCCCCCATGGATGCGGGCCCCCACTCAGCCACATATCCAGCCCCCCACCAAAGTCACGCGGTCATCCACATGGAGCTCCCACCTCCAAAAGCCTCCTACCGTACCCCACCCTCAGTATCCACAGCCCCACCTGGCGGATAGGTTCTCCCAGGGCCTCCAGGGTTCCTGGGTAGTTCTCCATGAGTGACACATGCAGCTTATTCTCGGCACGCTGAGGCAGGGCAGATACCACAGCATAGGCCTGCTCCAGCAGCGCGCAGTTCTGCCGGTTGCGGGCCTTGTTTCGGATTAACTCCTGGGGTGAGGGCCAAGAGTCACGGATCCAGGAGGCTCTGAACCCAGGAATCCCCTCGCCCCCCACCGATGCAGCCTGCACAGAGGAGGCTGGAGCATGTCACCTTCAGCAGGGCCTGGTATTTCTGCACCCGCTCCACTGGCTGCTCCAGGTAGTGCTGAAGTGGAGGTGGGGGTGGCTGCGTGGGGTCCTTGGCTGACAATGTCTCTTCTGCATATTTCTGTAGGAACCACAAAAGTGGCTTTGTGCATGAATGCACGGTCCCTTGGTGACTAGAGTCACTCCAGGGGCGTCACAGGCACAGCCCTGAACCACCCGGGCATGGCTATGTCCCCTGAGAGCTAGAGGATGATACCAAGGGTCCTGACACACACAGCCCCGCACTAGGGACACTGGGTTACCATCTCACTGGTGGTGGCACAGGGCTTGGGCAGCTTAAGTAATTAATAGCCGAGCGTACAGAGCTGTGGTTACTCCTGTTTCATTTCCCACTGAGCCAGGGCCCAGGCAGGTGGTGGGCATGCAGTGATGTGGGTTGAGGAAGATGAACTTGGGCTGGCCCACGTGGACCAGTGGAGCCACACCTCAGAGGGCATCTGGGCAACAACTAGGGTCTAGGAGCAAGCAGGGTGGGTGGGCTTGTGACGGGCAGGAAGCACCTTGTAGAACTCCTGCACCGGGGTGCTGACAACCACTGACTCGGCTTGCACGCGGCCCACCAGGAACTCAAGGTACTTCTCAAAGGCCTCCTGGTTCTTGATGAAGCACATGGCCACATCGTCATCGGTGTCACAGGACTGCAGCTCCTTCAAGAAGCTGCCACAAAGGGGACAGTGTCAGCACCTCCCCCGACCAACCAGCTCCAGACCTTCTCCTCTAGGAGAAGGCCAGGATCCTAACTAATCAGGGCCTGAGCCCTGTGATAGATTATGTTGTCATGTGTGCAAGAAGTGAATGGTTGTGTGCCCATCTGCCCATGTACAAGTACAACATATACTATGCATGCATGTATACAAGAGCATTCATATGTGGGTGCATACGTATGTAAGTTTTCTAAAAGCACGCATGCATATACACATAAACATGCACAGATGTGAACACACAGCTGTGCAAACATTGTATATGTGCAATGTAGTGTGCACATTTGTGGTGTGCATGCATCTTGGTACAGGTGAGTACACACACACACACACACACACATATATATATATATGCTCATGTGTACTTGTATGTCTTGTGTAACAGTGCACATGCATAGAAACCCACATGTGTGCACACGTTAGCATGTGAGGTGTATACATGTTACCAGATATAAAATGTTATGTATCTCCATGAGCAGGGATGTAAGTAAGAGTGTGCATATGTGTGCAAATATGCACAGACACATCAAGCACATGAGCATGCACAGTGTGGCAACTATGCATGCACACATGTGTACACGTGTGTGTATGCCTGCACATGAGAGTCTACATGCATCGTGCATACACTAGTCAGGCATACTGCAGGCTTTATCTTGTATAAGCCAGATACACAGTAAGGGAAGATCTGGCCCACTAGCACAGGCTTGCCCCTTCCTCAGTTCCTGCCCACCCGCCATGAGGCCTGGCCTGCAGGTAGGGGCTGTGTGCTCACACACACGTGTGCATGCATGCAGCCCCACCCTCCCACCTGCTGTGGAAACGGCTGATGTCCTGCACGTTCCGGAAGATGACTGTCTTCTGGCTGGCCACGGCTGTAGGCACACGGGGAGATCGGTCCAGGTGCTTCATGTGGTGACTTTCCAAGAACTGCAGCTCACCCACGAAAGCCTGCTCTGAACTCAGCAACTCCTGGATGACAGAGCTGGCAGGAAGAGGAGCCATTAGGGGGTACTCGGGGCGCCAGTGGCCACAGGCTCCTGCCCCTTTCACGGCCCTGGGATCAGCGTTGTTACAGGACTGTTTACTCTCTCACATCCCCCATTCCCTCAGCTTCTTGCTACCACTCTCAGAGAGGGGATGAGGAGTCCCTGGGAAGAACCACTCCTCCACATAACTGCCCCCGCCCCCCACAAGGAAGTGACCTGGCACAGCCCACGTGGGGACCGCTGCAGGAATCAGTGACAAACCGGTGCCCGCTCTCTTCTCTGCCTCCACCCATCCCTGATACAGAGCAGGCATTCACAGGCCCCCGTAAAAGCAGCAGGTCAGAACTCCATTTGGACCCTGAAAGAGGGCAGGCAACAGCTCCATGAGCAGCGGGCCAGCCGGGGAAAGCTCTACCAGAAACTCACCTCAGCCGCATTCTATACTCATCCTCAGACACAGCCTCCCCAGGGAACTCAGGGGCCTCAGTGGGCCCCCACTCAGGAGACAGCTGGTGAGAAACAGGCATCTGTCAGAGGTGGGCTGAGCCCTGGCTCCGCCCCTACAGAAGCCGGGGGCTCCTATCCTCCAAATGGAATAGAACAGTGCCAGAATCCTCTGGGCCGGTGACCTTAAGACCCTCTCCCCTGAGTCCTCCTAGCCAAGTACCTTGAGCCTCTTGTCCAGGTAGGCAGGCGACACCCAGCCCTGCCTAGAAGGGCTGGATTTGGTGGGCTTGGTGCGTACAAGCCAGCGCAGGGGGTGGGCTGAATCCAGGACCTCCACATACTGGCCTTCTCTCAGAATGATGGCGTCCTGCTCGGCCCCCAGCGGCAGATAGTCGGCTGTGACCACATAGATGTCAAAGATCTGTTTGGGCAGGGAGAGGAAATGAGCTGGGGGATAGAGCCGGCCTGTCAGGGCCCCCAGCAGCCACCAGAGAAGAGAGGATGAGAAGCCCCCAAAACCCTGGGAAAGAGGCTGAGTCGGGAGACCCAAGAAGGTATCAGCCAAGCCTGTCAAGTCCCCGAATGCAGGGACATTTAGCGCAGCTGCTGGCTCCCAATCCCACACAAATGGTAGGAATGTGGATCTTCTCCCTGGGCTTCCCCCAAAGGAAAGCACTACACTCTGGGGCCTCTAGATGGCGCTGTCTATACCACTTGTTCACATCTCATCACGTGTCCACCTGCCGCCTGGGACCTAACAGGGTGCCTACTACAGCAGAGGCAGAGGTGGGGTGGGAGAAGGGTAGATGGAAAGGATCGAGGAGGACTCAGAAGAAGCACTCTCCAGGAATCCCCGAAGAACGGACCTAGTCCCTCACCAGGTCCTGCCTCCTGTACATCTTGGGAGCAGAAGACAGATACCCGCCTGCCCTTCAGCCAGGAGCTGGTCTCCTGATGGCCTGTGTAGTGCACTCACTTTCCAAGACCTCCCTGGGATTCTGCCCCTGGTCCTCTCATTCCTCTGTCTTCTCTCCAGGAGCCCTCTCCCCAGAATGTTCCCCCAGGGTCCTGGCCCACCTACCTCACCACGGGAGTCCCCATCCTCTGACTCTGAAGAGGATTCTTGGACACTGGAGGAAGGGCGAGACCGGCCATGCCGAGGAGAAGCAGATGGTGTCTTGGACTCCTCGTCGCTGTCACCTCCCGGCACCTGGAGCTTGGCTGGATGGGCACAAGGGTTGTGATGCCCCCCAGTAGCCGGTCAGTTTCTAGATCATGGAGGCACACGTGCACTTGGCCCCACCACCCCCTCGGGACACACTACCACCTCACCCTGTGAGATCTTGGCTGATACCATCTCAGTGATCTGTGAGGTGAGTTTCTGCAGGAACTCTTCTGTGCCCACTTCAGCAAGGGACAGGTGACCATGGGCCTCTTCAGCTACCAGGGACTCCCCTGGGGTGGCAAAAGGGACCCTCAATCAACCATCCTCTCCCGGATGTCTACTGAGTGCTCCCTACACTCCAGGCTTATCTTTAGCCCCGAGGAATGCCAGGCACACAAGATCAGGCTTCCTAATGGTGCTGGGGTCTGGAAAGGAGACCAGCCTTGAGGACAGGGATGTTGAGGTTGGCCGTATGAAGTCACAGAAGGCTTGCTGTGGTCTGAGCCAAGAGGTAGCCAGTGTGATTGAGAACAAGAGGAAGCAATTCTGGAGAGAGGGAGCACAGTAGATGCAGCTGAGGAACACTGGGGGTGGCTAAGGATCAGCAGGGTCCCCACTGGGCAGTCAAGGGACAGCAGCCGATCTGGGGGGAATGGACAGCACAGCCAAGGTCCAGACAGTTACTAGGAAGCAGCAGGCACCTATGGACGGTGGATCCACCTCCAGTGGCCAGCATGGCTACAGGGTAGAGGGTGAACAGAAGAGACAAAGCCGCAGAGGGGTCAGACCTCGGTTATCAGGCTGTGGAGGACCCGGAATACGGCTCACGCCACCTCTGCTGGTACCTGGCTTGCTGGCCTCCACAGCCCACTGCATGTGAGCTCTGCATCTAGGTGAGGCTTCTCTTGGGATCCCATAGGCTCCCAGATCCACAGAGGTCATAAATGCCTCTGACCCCAATTCAAGCCCCGCCCACGGGAGTGTGGAGGCCCCTGACCCAGCACCGTGGCCAGCAGCTTCCTATTCCCCTGGCCTGGCTCGGGGTGAAGGGTGCTCAGCATCCCCATCCCACCTGTACCTCTCCTTTGTGCAGCAAGATCAGCAAAACCCGCAGATTCCACCATCTGGGCTGAGACAGCTTGGCTTGTCCTGTGGAGACAGGGGCATCCTGAGAGGCCTGAGGTCGGAGCTACCACCTTCCACCTTCCCACCCTGGGGCTCCTGACAGGAAGAGGGTCTGGAGGCAAGGGTCTAAGACACCAGTCATCATCTCCACATCAGAGGGATCCTGGGAAACCCTCATTCTATACTGGGGAAACTGAGGCATGGGAGGAGAAAGGGCGGGCCCAAGTACACAGCCTGTGCAAGCCAGAAGTGGTCTATTTGCAGGATAGGGTGGTCCTCACGGGCACCATAGTTGTCCTGTTCCCAGTTCCCAGACCTAGTCTGTGATCTTGGCCTACGGCCTCTGGATAGCATCCACTCACCCTTGCAAGAAGGAAGAAATGAGAGCCTCCTTCACCCTTTCCTGCTCTTCCTCTTTGGCCACTGTTGAGAGAGTGGAGAGCCATCAGCATGAGCTCCTGGACCCTGACGCTTCAGGTTCCAATACTCAGGATACCTGAGCTGTCCCAGGATCCTGGACTCTGTCCTCTGAGCCCTGAGCAGGGACTGTTCTGAAATGGTACTTTCCTGCTCCTGACCATGGTCACCCCAATGGTAACCAAGAACATGAGTCTACCCTCAGAGTGCCAGCCTACAGGGGGTTGAATAAGGCCCTGGAGCAAAGAGTTCAGCTCACCCTAGAGACCTCCCCCTCCCCACATACAGAGCAGGGTGAGTGCTGGAGCTGAGAGACTCTGAAGCCCCACATCAAACTCCCCTGCATCCATGAGGCTCTGGAGGTTTCCTGATACCGTGGGAGTAGGAGAAACACAAATGTTGAAGGTCAACATGCCCCCCCCACTAAGGAGCCCCTGAATCTGCACTGTCCTGCTCAGGTGCCCCTCCTATTCACATGTGCCTGCCTTACCCCCCGACCCTCCACTCACAGCCAGAGACGTGCAGGCTGGCAGAGCAGAGCGCCTGGCCAGCAGCGTTGGTGGTGATGCATGTGTAGGTGCCCTGGTGCTGTCGGCCCACGTCCAGCAGGACCAGGCTATGCTGCTTGCCGGAGCTGGCCATGGTGTAGCCAGGGGTATCGGGGCCAATCCACAGCACCCCCTTCTCTGTCTCCTCCTTGAGCCAATGCACAGTGGGGGCCGGGTGTCCTAAGGGACAGAGGGCAGTGAGTCCATCCCGGACAGAGACAGAGCCCGACCAGGAACCCTCACCCAGGGCCAAGTATTGTGTGTGGCCACCAGCCTCTCCATGAGAGTCGCCTCACCTTCCACCTTCACTGAAAAGGTAATGCTGGAACCCCTCTTCACTTTCTTGGGGGTGAACTTCTCCAGGATCCGGGGTGGCACCAGCCGCTCATGCACATCTGGAATGACACAGCCAACCCACAGGGACCCCCTGACAACCCACCCCAGTGTCCTCATCCCAGAGGATCCCCTGAAACCTATGCCCACTGGCCATCCACACTTCCATGGCAGCCAACCCCAGGTCCATCCATTCTGGCTTCCTGCCCGTGGTCTGCCACCCACTCATGCCCATCTGGGGCTATCTCACCTGATGCTGGCTTCTCTTCTGGTTCACTGGGACCTGAAAACACAGAGTCAGACACTCAGCACTCAGGGGCTCTGTCCTGGTAGCCCCACTGCCGGGGCAAAGATACCCAAACCTCTTGAAACCTCAGAGAGCTATGGAACTCACCACTCAGCATGAAGATGGCCACAGGCCACATAGACCTGATAGATGACATACTGCTACCCATTCTTGTTACCCCCAGCCTCCCCAGACCTTGATCTGCAACCAAATGCATGGGCGTGCGCACAACCCAGAAGCTTAGGGGGCCACATCTTCCAAGCCCTGGCAGAAGAGGCCACAGAAAGCACTGGGTCCCTCATAGCATGATAGGTTTGGTTCAAATTTGGAATTCACTTCCCATGTTCAGGAAGAAGGAGCCTCAAGGCCACCACGGTCACCCGTTCCCTGCAGAGCTGACCTCCAGCTACTTGAGTCTCTGCTCCCTGGAGCAAATGACCACAGAGCCTTGACCTCAAGTCTGACAGGGCCTCAAGTCAGCTCTGTCCAGTCTTCCAGGGCACCCACCTCGGACCAGCAGCCGGGCCGACGAATAAGCAGCACCCACAGCATTGCTGATGTAGGCTGCATACTGGCCACTGTCCTTTGGGGTGACTGAGACAATCTCCAGGGTGTGCAGGGTCTTCTTGTCAGTCATGCGGATGTGGGCAGATGTGGTCAGGGGCCGGCCATCTTTGAACCAGTACAGTTTGGGGGCTGGATAGCCTGAGGACACAAAGGCAGGTGGTCGGTGATGACAGAAGACCCAGAGCAGAGGTCCCTCAGAGACCGAAGGGTGCTGGCCTCACACATACCCACCCAAACACTGCTGGCTGGGGTCGCCTCCCGATTGTGGCTGGTAGGCCTTGGCCTCTGTTCAGTAAGGCAGTGATGCTTCCTCACCAGCTCCTTACCTTTCACCTTGAGCTGGAATTTGGCCAGGCGTGTGCCAGGGGCCACTTGGAGGTCTTTCAGCTCCTCCAGCACCTGGGGAAGCTGCCCCTCATCTGACTCGGTTCCCTCTTGCTCCCGGCTGTCAGGAAGGACAAACAAGGGAACGGCCATGAAGCAACAAGTAAGAAGGTTCAAGGCAGGAGGGCCACGGGAGTGAGGTCAGCCATGGAGGGATACTGAAGTTTCCTGAACTGAGGGACAGAGGAAGCAGAAGCTACCAGGGCCTGGTGGAAGTCCCTAAGATTTGTCTTGTCAATCCAAGTACCCTAACCCCCCGCCCCAGGTAGCAGGGCATGGTTGCCTCCTCAGAGACCCTGGGAGAGTCAGTCACTGGACCTTTCCATCTCTGAGGGACCCCACCTGGACAGGTATCCCTGGGCGCTGAAGTACGATGAGGTCTCAGTAGCATCCGCTGCGGTATCATAGTCTGTGCTGGTCACTGGAGAGGAAAGGGTGATTCAGGGACAAGGCCTAAAACACATGCACTAGGACCACCTTGGCCCTGTGAGGCTCTGACCATGCAGCCTTGAGGGGAGCTACCTGCACTCAGCATGGAGAAGGGCAACAGCTTCCTGAACCCTCCCTGCCCCAGCCCATGACCGGGCAACACTTCCAGGCTATAACTAACTGCACGCCTCTTCGGCCCAACAAACTATGCTGTCACACAATTTGCAGTCTTCATGAATTACAGCAGCTCGGGCAGTACCTTCCAGTTCCATCTTACACTACCACGAGGGGTTAAAGAGATACTGGCCTCAAAACCAACAGCTGAGGACTAGCCATCAGGATACAGCAGGAGAGACTAGATCTCTCTGCTGTATGCTGTCACACAGCCAATGTTTGTGTCCCACAAATACACGTGTTAAAACATGAATCTTGCCGGGCGTTGGTGGCGCACGCCTTTAATCCCAGCACTCGGGAGGCAGAGCCAGGTGGATCGCTGTGAGTTCGAGGCCAGCCTGGGCTACCAAGTGAGCTCCAGGAAAGGCGCAAAACTACGCAGAGAAACCCTGTCTCGAAAAACCAAAAAAAAAAAAAAAAAACATGAATCTTGGGCTGGCCAGATGGCTCAGCAGGTAAAGGTGCTTGCCACCAAGCCTAGTGACCTGAGTCCATTCCTTGGAAGCCACAAGGTGGAAGGAGAGAACCGACTCTCACAAATTGTCCTCTGAATGCCATACAAGTGTCATGGCACGCGCGTGCGCGAGCACACACACACACACACACACACACACAATGTAAAAAGAAAAGAAAATCATCAGTGTGGTATTGGTATTAGGAGGCAGAGTCTTCTGGAGGTGGTCAGACCACACCCAGGCCACCCAGGAGACACCCAGCTCAGGCCGGCACTCACGCTCCACACGAAGCTCCGCCTTGGTGGAGGAGACTCCCACGCTGTTCTCCGCCAGGCAGCGGTAGACACCCATGTCTGCTGGCACCACCGCCGTGATGATGAGCTGGTGGCCGCCCTGTTGGTCCTCATTGATCATGTAGTGGTCATCCTCCTCCAGCAGCTTGCCGTCCTTGAACCAGCGCACACTGGGCACAGGCTGGCCCGTCACCACGCAGTTGAAACTCATGGGGTAGCCATCCTGCACTTCTTGGTTCTGCAGCTCCGTCAGGAACACTGGGGCTGGCACGGGCAGGTAGAGGGTACAACGTTAACCCTGGGATGCCCCTCATAACCAGATACCGCGTGCAGTGCATGCAGGTTGCCACCAGAGGGTGCTGTGACACAGCAGCCTTTCCTATAAGGGGTTTCCCAAGCTCCACAACTAGATGCCCCGAGCTTCTCTCCTTCCCTATTCTCTAAGAATTCTCTCTTGGTTCCCAGTGAGGTAGAGGAGTGCAGAACTGGAAAGGACAGACAGAAAAGGATGTACAGGCTGGAAGTTTAAACCCCAGGTACCCCCAAACTGGGGAGAAGTCTCAAGACACAGCCCTGAGGGACCTTCATTATAACCTCCTGGTGGCCCAGGAGAGACTCAGGTGCGAGTGAGGTTGTCTTACTTTCATGACATGGAAACTACCGCGAGGAACGGACCTCAACACGCACTGCTAGGGAAAGACAAAGCTGAGGTTCACAACCAGCTGTTTAACCTCCAAGTCAGGGCTTTGCCATGCTCCCCTCCACCCCCACAGGCTGGGGGACAACCAGCCAGAGCGCCCTTCTGGTTCCGCCCCAGTCAGCCTCCATCCTCTTCTCCCTCTGCCCTCCCTCAGGCCAAGCTCCCCCACGCCCACCCCAGGCCGCTGCAGCCCATGGACTCACCAGCATCTGAAGTCTGCAGGCCAGGGGTCTTTGCTGGTGGCGCCGCAGGGGTGACAGTGGGAGCCACCTTGCCAATGCGCATCTCCACGCCCCGGGGTCCCTGCTCCCCGAGGCTGATCTCCACCCCGATGCCCATGGTGGCAAACATGTCACGGAAGCAGGTGACCGCTCGGCGGGCCTCCTCGAGCGCCTCAAAGCGGATGCACACAAAGTTTTCGTCCTCTCGGTATGTCTGCCAGTCCGCCGGCTCCTCTGGCTCCGAAGGGCCTTCATCGGCGCTGAGGAAGAGTTCCTCCTCTGACAGCTCAGCTGGGCTCTTGGTTCGGAAGAGCCTGTGCAGGCGCCGGGCGGCCCGGCGGAAGGCGTCGTCCAGCTCGCCTCCTGAGGAGCTCTCAGCCTCACTCTCTGTCCCACTGACCACCACACAGGCACTGTGGCTCACACGGCCGAACTTGGTGCTCACCTGACAGGTGTAGCGGCCAGTGTCAGTGGGGCCCAGGCCAGTGACCAGCAGAGAGCAGGTGCCGTCCTTGAGCTGGTCTATGTGGTAGTGCCGCCCGTCGGTCAACTCTTTGCCATCCTTCAGCCAGCAGGCCCGCATATCCGCCTTGCTGGCCACCACGCACTCCAGCCGCAGCACATCCCCAGCCTGTGCCTCCGTGTCCCCAAATGTCCGGGAGAACACAGGCCCTTCCTGCTGCTTTATCTCCTTCCGCACTTTGTAGCCCTTAAAGGCAGCCTGGATCTTCACAGCTGCCTTGTCCAGGGACGGATCCTTCAGGTCGGCTGCACTCAAGTCTCCCGGCAGCGGGCACATGGGCACTACTTGCTCCTGCTGCTTTTGTGGCTTCACAGAGGCGGCCACCTGGGCCCCATGCTGTGGACACAGGATGTGAGGTCAGAGCAAGGCTGGGAAATTAAGACCAACAACACTCCCGGCCCAGTACCACTCCAGCACGCCATCTGACTCCAGCTTAGTGGCCGCCCAGGTGCTTGCTGGAGCCCTGCTACTTCTGCTCCCCAAAGCAAATGCTCATCCTAGAAATCACAGTATGCAGTGGCCCAGGTGGGGACCAACAGCATTTTGGGGAACACCAGATAGGCCAGGCCCATCTCTTCAGGAAAAAAGTTGTAACTGTCTAGTAGGTAAGTGGGGAAGTGTATGGAAAATGCAAGAAAAAAAAATAGGCAGGTTGTGTGGTTGAATGGGTAGTGCTGTGGGATGGTCTGTATGTCAAAT